ATCATGATTGATTTATACTACACTGAATACATATTTTAATGAAAATAAATTTAAGAAGTTGAAAAAAAAAATGAGAATATAACAGACTAGTTTTAAACACGTTTTAATTTAATTTTATACTTACTGGTTAAAATAAATTGTTACAATTTAAGAATAAATGACAAAATTGAAAAAATATATATAATAAATAAGAAGTAGGGATTAAAACGAAAATTTATTTACTTCACAGTCGGTGCAGGAAAACCAGTGAAAGCAACTTCCAGGATAGTTGGTGAATCTTTCGGTACCACCAATGCTTCAAGAGGTTTAGTGATTCTAGGGGCTTCTAAAGGTTTTGTTTGTTCTTCTGGTACCTCACCTAATAAAATGTATACATTTTAGTAGATTAAGATAAATAAAACATCAGATAAATAATATATTTTATAATTAATACTAAAATTATTTAAGTATTTATGCAAATTTTGTAATCAATGGAACTTAAAAATCAAGTTTTACATTCTTTTATAAATTTAAATTGGGATATGATATTCCGAAACATCAACATGGCTTGGTGATGGTACAATGGATGGGATATATTGGTGGTTCTTCAAGTTTTGATATGGTAATAGAAGTCTTGAGAATGAATTTCATAGAAGGTAAGAAAATTGATGAGATTGTTACAGGAGTAACTTACTGCTCAGAAATAGACAAATTTCAAGAGAAAAGTTGCAGCCCTTGTCCTTATTGCCCAAATGCTTTTCAGTAAACTTTTTTTTTTTTTCTTAATCCTCTCTTTCACACCCTTTAGGCTATATGAGAGTAAAATAAGAATATCTTCCAAAAAAGTCAGAGAAAAAAGTTATGAAGAAAAAGAAATTTTTTTGGACCAAAATTCAAAAAGTATAAAACCTATGGTTGATAATAGACATGATAATTTCAAAGGTTTTTAAATTCCCCACAAAATGAAAACAAAATTAGGAAAATCAGAACATTTTAAGCGAAAATAAAACCAACTGTGATTTGAACACATCTTTTGGTTAATTATTTTGAATGAACCATTGTAATCGACCAAGAAAAATAAAATTAATTTGGCCCTCTTATAATATCAATTTCAAATTTAGTTATTTCCATATTATATTATCATTGATTCACTGACAAATGTAAGCAACTTATTGCCACAGACCAAATAGTATATATATATATATATATATATATATATATATATATATATATATATATATATATATATAAAAGAAGGATAGTTTTAATTTTTCCTAAATTCAGTAGAACAATTTGTTGTCAATGAAACCCATAGGATAGAAAGAAAGACCGATAATTAATTTGATGATAAGAAAATCAAACATCGATGATTTAGATGGGTATCCTAAGTGAACATTTGAAGTTAAAAACATACCCTATGTTAGATTTTTCATTGATCGACTGAGCATTCATCACCAATGTGCAATCGCACAATGCTTTTTCCCATTAGAACATACCCTTGGGGTTTACAAGATCATTTTGTACCAAGTATAAGTAAAGTCCTTTGGTAATGTTGTCAGATTAGAAATGTGCCTCAAGTCAGAAATTTTTGACCAGAGGACAAAACTTGCAACTTTTTTACGGGCTACATGAAAGATGGAGATTCGGAGTGGAAAATTACTAATGTACAGAAGAATGAATTTGATGAAGTCCATTGGGCAAAAATTTAACCTGAAGTCATATAGGAAAAATTATTAAAATAAAAAACATTGTCTCAACAAAATGGGTATATCAACATTTTAATCAACTACTGCTCAGTCATTTCCTTTAAAAGTGTTAAAACTATATTATTATATTTCAATTTAGCAAATCAATTTTCAAATTCTAAAGTTATATCATATTTTTAAGATATTAAGGTGGAATTCATCTATGCAGTACCTGTTTTAAGCACATCAGTTTCTTTTTTAGTTCTATTAAATTAAGATATTAATTTCTTAAGTAAGTAGTTAAATCCTCCCCCCATATTTTCCCCATAAAATCATTTTTAAAACAGAGAAGTTGTATATCTATATTTAAGCAAATATGGAAATTGTTAAAAACAATAATAGTAAAAATAACAATCGCGATAAAAATAAATGTTTCTTCCCAATTAACTTAACATCAATTTTCTCAGATTGGTTTTAAAAAATTTTGGAAACATTTCAAACCAACATTAAAAATTAAATACTTCGAAAGTGAAAACTGGATTAACACATAAAGACATATTTTATCAAGATTTATACTAAAATTAATTCAAATTATAACAAAGAATATAAAATACTCACTCAGTACTATATTGGCTCTGGATTCAGCTTTGCCAAAACGGTTTATAGCTTTGACTGAATATATCGACTCATCTATTTCTTCAGATTCAATTATGGTAAGGATGCTTTTGCCAGACTCCTCAGTTAGAATGGTGTGCTTATCATCTGGAACAATTTCAGTTCCTGCCCTAAACCAGACAACCTCTGGCATCGGAATACCAGTAACTTCACAGTCCATGGTGATTAATGATCCACGTTTTGCAACTTTAGGTTTCAATGGTTTAATAAATCTTGGGGCTTCACCTTTTTCTTCTTTTTCTATGGTTTCAAAATTTGGTTATAAATGAAATAGAAATTGGATGTATTATCAGTTTATTCCTAATAAGTCATTAAATGACATTTCATAACCTTAAATAAGTAAGAACTTAAATTCAATGAAGTTTCTCTTTGTGAAATCATAAAATGTAGCTGTTAATTGATAAATAAAGTTGAAATTCATGTTGTTCTTTAAAGTTCAATGCCATCAAAAATATACTTACTGACTTTTTGCAATAAACTGACAATATTTATTATGAAATGGTAACAGTTAAATTAAATAAAATGATAAAACAAAACAAATGCATATTATAATTACAAGCAAAACCAAAATCATTAAGATAATTATAACCATTAGTAAAAAATAAAAATGTATTCAATTTAATATGAGGTTCTAAATATACCATCTTGAAAGCTTACATTATTCAGTAAATCAGAGTTCATGATTAGCAAAAAATAAAATAATTAACAGCTGAAAACCAAAAAGTACTTAATTACATACATGATTAACAAAATTCACAATAAGGTGTATTAATCCTTGGTTAAAGCAAATGCAAGAAAAAATGAAACACCAAACAATCAGTAAATTCGAACACACAATTGTTAAAAAAGGCACTTGTGTACCTATGATGACAAGATTGGCAGTACAGGTGGCAACTCCAGCAGGATTTGAAGCACGACAAGAATATGTACCAACATCTTCAAGGGTAACCTTTTCTATTTTCAGGGTAGTGACATTTTCATATACAGTAATGATAGAGTGTTCAGATGCATGCATTTCAGTTCCGTTATGTGACCAAGTAATGACAGGGGGAGGGTTACCTTCAAATTTACAAGTAAATAAAATAGGTTGTTCATCTTCGCTAATAATCGGTTGAATTCTTTCAACAAATCTTGGAGGAAGAGGGGTTACAGGCTGGGCCAATGTAAATGAAACACTTTTAACATCTGTTGACTCATCAATGATTTGCTCAGTAGATGCTTGTTTCAAAGAAGGTTTTGGTCGCTTCTTTCTTTTCTCTTTTTCTTTAGGCAGATCTCTAGGGATTTGATCATTCTCATCATCACGTGGAAATGGTTCAGGTTTACCAACATCAAGTTCTTTATCTTTTTCTTCCGGAGGAGGTTTCTCCTTTTTCCATGGTTTGAGCTTAATCGTTTCTGGTTTCTCTTCTGGTGGTGGACCCTGCTTCTTCCTTAACTTGATATCTTCATCCTCTTCTGGGGGCTTTTCTTTACCCTTACCCATGATTAACTTTCTATCTTCCTCTGGTTTTTCTGGTTTTACTTTCTGAGGTTTGGGTTTTTCTTTCTTTTCTAATACTGGAACTGGTTTTGGCATCTCTTCAGATTCTATTGGAGCTTTCTCTAGATCTTCAGGCTGTTCACCAGGTGGTATATCCTCCAGTGGTTTTAATTTAAACGATACATCTTCAGATGGGCCCGGACTAAGTGGCTTTTCAGGTTTAGGCTTCTTTGAAGGTTTTTCAACTTCTGGTTTTTCATCAGGCTTTTTCTCAGGTATCTTTTTCAACTTGACTATTTCTTTCTCATCTCGTTCTTCAGGCAGTTTTCCTTTACCCATTACTAATTTTCTCGGTTCTTCTTGGGGTTGCTCAGGCTTTCCAGGCTTTTCTGGTTTTTCTTTAGGTTCTTGAGGTGCTTCTGGTTTAGGTTGTTTAGGCGGTTCTTCAAAAGGTTCATACTTTTCAATTTCAGCTTCCGGTCTCTTTGGAAGTTTAACTCTTCTTCTTGTTGTTTTCTTCACCTTTTTAGCTTCTTCATAATTTCTGGAAAGTATACCGTTATCAACATATATTGGTTCCAGATCCTTGATTATAATATAGTGAATAGTAGGAGGATATGGATAGTGCTTAATGCGGCTCTTAAGTAGAACCTTTGGAAGTTCTGTAGTTTTAGGAGCATCTTTCTTTGGAGGGAGAGTTACTTTTCTCAGTTTGATGGAAGCGAAGTGTGGAAGATCTGAAACTTTAACAACACTAACTTTATGTGGCTCAATTGATACAGTTTCTAATTTCATTGGAACTAATTTTTCAGACTTTGGTTTAATAGGTATAGTCTTCTCTTCAACAACTGTTGAATCCTCTGTCTTAAGTACCTTAGTTTTGGGTATCTTCTTCTTTTGTTTACTTGACTTTTCATCTGGGGTTTGTTCTGGAATTTCTTCCTTTACCTCTGGTGCAATAGTTTTTTGAGGTTTCTTCTTCCTCCTCCAGATAGGAACTGAAGTATCTTCTTCAGTTTTTTTAACATCTTCTGGCAATACAGGTTTTTCATCTTCTGATTCTTTTTCATCTTTTGCAGAGGTAGCCACAGTAACCTCAGGAGTTAGTTTATCCTTTTCACCTGTTAGTTCTTCATCCTTTGGAAGCAGATCTGTTCCAATCGGTTTTGGTATTTCTTCTTCGATTCGTTCTTTATCCTTAGGCTTTTTCCTTGTTCTTTTATCTTTATCCTTTGGTATTCTCATAGATAATTCCTTATCATCATCATCACGTGGAAATGGTTCAGGTTTACCAACATCCAGTTCTTTGTCTTTTTCTTCCGGAGGAGGTTTCTCCTTTTTCCACGGTTTGAGCTTAATCGTTTCTGGTTTCTCTTCTGGTGGTGGACCCTGCTTCTTCCTTAACTTGATATCTTCATCCTCTTCTGGGGGCTTTTCTTTACCCTTACCCATGATTAACTTTCTATCTTCCTCTGGTTTTTCTGGTTTTACTTTCTGAGGTTTGGGTTTTTCTTTCTTTTCTAATACTGGGACTGGTTTTGGCATCTCTTCAGATTCTATTGGAGCTTTCTCTAGATCTTCAGGCCGTTCACCAGTTGGTATATCCTCCAGTGGTTTTAATTTAAACGATACATCTTCAGATGGGCCCGGACTAAGTGGCTTTTCAGGTTTAGGCTTCTTTGAAGGTTTTTCAACTTCTGGTTTTTCATCAGGCTTTTTCTCAGGTATTTTTTTCAACTTGACAATTTCTTTCTCATCTCGTTCTTCAGGCAGTTTTCCTTTACCCATTACTAATTTTCTCGGTTCTTCTTGGGGTTGCTCAGGTTTTCCAGGCTTTTCTGGTTTTTCTTTAGGTTCTTGAGGTGCTTCTGGTTTAGGTTGTTTAGGCGGTTCTTCAAAAGGTTCATACTTTTCAATTTCAGCTTCCGGTCTCTTTGGAAGTTTAACTCTTCTTCTTGTTGTTTTCTTCACCTTTTTAGCTTCTTCATAATTTCTGGAAAGTATACCGTTATCAACATATATTGGTTCCAGATCCTTGATTATAATATAGTGAATAGTAGGAGGATATGGATAGTGCTTAATGCGGCTCTTAAGTAGAACCTTTGGAAGTTCTGTAGTTTTAGGAGCATCTTTCTTTGGAGGGAGAGTTACTTTTCTCAGTTTGATGGAAGCGAAGTGTGGAAGATCTGAAACTTTAACAACACTAACTTTATGTGGCTCAATTGATACAGTTTCTAATTTCATTGGAACTAATTTTTCAGACTTTGGTTTAATAGGTATAGTCTTCTCTTCAACAACTGTTGAATCCTCTGTCTTAGGTACCTTAGTTTTGGGTATCTTCTTCTTTTGTTTACTTGACTTTTCATCTGGGGTTTGTTCTGGAATTTCTTCTTTTACCTCTGGTGCAATAGTTTTTTGAGGTTTCTTCTTCCTCCTCCAGATAGGAACTGAAGTATCTTCTTCAGTTTCTTTAACATCTTCTGGCAATACAGGTTTTTCATCTTCTGGTTCTTTTTCATCTTTTGCAGAGGTAGCCACAGTAACCTCAGGAGTTAGTTTATCCTTTCCACCTGTTAGTTCTTCATCCTTTGGAAGAAGACCTGTTTCAACTGGTTTCGGTATTTCTTCTTCGGTTCGTTCCTTATCCTTAGGCTTTTTCCTTGTTCTTTTATCTTTATCCTTTGGTATTCTCATAGATAATTCCTTATCATCATCATCACGTGGAAATGGTTCAGGTTTACCAACATCCAGTTCTTTGTCTTTTTCTTCCGGAGGAGGTTTCTCCTTTTTCCACGGTTTGAGCTTAATCGTTTCTGGTTTCTCTTCTGGTGGTGGACCCTGCTTCTTCCTTAACTTGATATCTTCATCCTCTTCTGAGGGCTTTTCTTTACCCTTACCCATGATTAACTTTCTATCTTCCTCTGGTTTTTCTGGTTTTACTTTCTGAGGTTTGGGTTTTTCTTTCTTTTCTAATACTGGGACTGGTTTTGGCATCTCTTCAGATTCTATTGGAGCTTTCTCTAGATCTTCAGGCCGTTCACCAGGTGGTATATCCTCCAGTGGTTTTAATTTAAACGATACATCTTCAGATGGGCCCGGACTAAGTTGCTTTTCAGGTTTAGGCTTCTTTGAAGGTTTTTCAACTTCTGGTTTTTCATCAGGCTTTTTCTCAGGTATCTTTTTTCAACTTGACTATTTCTTTCTCATCTCGTTCTTCAGGCAGTTTTCCTTTACCCATTACTAATTTTCTCGGTTCTTCTTGGGGTTGCTCAGGCTTTCCAGGCTTTTCTGGTTTTTCTTTAGGTTCTTGAGGTGCTTCTGGTTTAGGTTGTTTAGGCGGTTCTTCAAAAGGTTCATACTTTTCAATTTCAGCTTCCGGTCTCTTTGGAAGTTTAACTCTTCTTCTTGTTGTTTTCTTCACCTTTTTAGCTTCTTCATAATTTCTGGAAAGTATACCGTTATCAACATATATTGGTTCCAGATCCTTGATTATAATATAGTGAATAGTAGGAGGATATGGATAGTGCTTAATGCGGCTCTTAAGTAGAACCTTTGGAAGTTCTGTAGTTTTAGGAGCATCTTTCTTTGGAGGGAGAGTTACTTTTCTCAGTTTGATGGAAGCGAAGTGTGGAAGATCTGAAACTTTAACAACACTAACTTTATGTGGCTCAATTGATACAGTTTCTAATTTCATTGGAACTAATTTTTCAGACTTTGGTTTAATAGGTATAGTCTTCTCTTCAACAACTGTTGAATCCTCTGTCTTAGGTACCTTAGTTTTGGGTGTCTTCTTCTTTTGTTTACTCGACTTTTCATCTGGGGTTTGTTCTGGAATTTCTTCCTTTACCTCTGGTGCAATAGTTTTTTGAGGTTTCTTCTTCCTCCTCCAGATAGGAACTGAAGTATCTTCTTCTGGTTGTTTTTCAACTTCTTCAGGACTATGTTTTACTTGCTCAATCACTTTTTGTTCTTCTACCAGAGTTATTTTATCTTCTTCCGTTTTGAAAATAATATCTTCATGTTTTGATTGAATTTGTTGCTCTACTGTTTCCTTTTTTTCTGGTTTCTTTTTGCTTCTCCAAACAGGAGCAGGAATTTCATCTTCTGGCACTTTCTCTACATCAGTAGTTTGTTCTACCGAGTCTGGAGCAATAGTTTTCTGAGGTTTCTTCTTCCTCCTCCAGATAGGAACTGAAGTATCTTCTTCAGTTTCTTTAACATCTTCTGGCAATACAGGTTTTTCATCTTTTGCAGAGGGAGCTACAGTAACTTCAGGAGTTAGTTTATCCTTTTCACCTGTTAGTTCTTCATCCTTTGGAAGAAGACCTGTTTCAACCGGTTTCGGTATTTCTTCTTCAGTTCGTTCCTTATCCTTAGGCTTTTTCCTTGTTCTTTTATCTTTATCCTTTGGTATTCTCATTGATAATTCCTTATCATCATCATCACGTGGAAATGGTTCAGGTTTACCAACATCAAGTTCTTTATCTTTTTCTTCCGGAGAAGGTTTCTCCTTTTTCCATGGTTTAAGCTTAATCGTTTCTGGTTTCTCTTCTGGTGGTGGACCCTGCTTCTTCCTTAACTTGATATTTTCATCCTCTTCTGGGGGCTTTTCTTTACCCTTACCCATGATTAACTTTCTATCTTCCTCTGGTTTTTCTGGTTTTACTTTCTGAGGTTTGGGTTTTTCTTTCTTTTCTAATACTGGGACTGGTTTTGGCATCTCTTCAGATTCTATTGGAGCTTTCTCTAGATCTTCAGGCCGTTCACCAGGTGGTATATCCTCCAGTGGTTTTAATTTAAACGATACATCTTCAGATGGGCCCAGACTAAATGGCTTTTCAGGTTTAGGCTTCTTTGAAGGTTTTTCAACTTCTGGTTTTTCATCAGGCTTTTTCTCAGGTATCTTTTTCAACCTAACTATTTCTTTTTCATCTTGTTCTTCAGGTAGTTTTCCTTTACCCATTACTAATTTTCTCGGTTCTTCCTGGGGTTGCTCAGGCTTTCCAGGCTTTTCTGGTTTTTCTTTAGGTTCTTGAGGTGCTTCTGGTTTAGGTTGTTTAGGCGGTTCTTCAAAAGGTTCATACTTTTCAATTTCAGCTTCCGGTCTCTTTGGAAGTTTAACTCTTCTTCTTGTTGTTTTCTTCACCTTTTTAGCTTCTTCATAATTTCTGGAAAGTATACCGTTATCAACATATATTGGTTCCAGATCCTTGATTATAATATAGTGAATAGTAGGAGGATATGGATAGTGCTTAATGCGGCTCTTAAGTAGAACCTTTGGAAGTTCTGTAGTTTTAGGAGCACCTTTCTTTGGAGGGAGAGTTACTTTTCTCAGTTTGATGGAAGCGAAGTGTGGGAGATCTGAAAGTTTAACAACACTAACTTTATGTGGCTCAATTGATACAGTTTCTAATTTCATTGGAACTAATTTTTCAGACTTTGGCTTAATAGGTGTAGTCTTCTCTTCAACAACTGTTGAATCCTCTGTCTTAGGTACCTTAGTTTTGGGTGTCTTCTTCTTTTGTTTACTTAACTTTTCATCTGGGATTTGTTCAGGAATTTCTTGCTTCACTTCTGGAGCAGGAGTTTTCTCAGGTTTTGTCTTCTTCCTTCTCCAGATAGGAACTGAAGTATCTTCTTCAGGTTGTTTTTCAACTTCTTCAGGACTAGGTTTTACTTGCTCAATCACTTTTTGTTCTTCTATCAGAGTTATTTTGTCTTCTTCCGTTTTGAAAATAATATCTTCAGGTTTTGATTGAATTTGTTGCTCTACTGTTTCTTTTTTTTCTGGCTTCTTTTTGCTTCTCCAAACAGGAGCAGGAATTTCATCTTCTGGCACTTTCTCTTCTTTAATAGGTATAGTTTTTATCTCCTCAATGACTTTGTCTTTCTCTACATTAGTAATTTGTTCTACCGAATCTGGAGCAATAGTTTTCTGAGGTTTCTTCTTCCTCCTCCAGATAGGAACTGATGTATCTTCTGCTGGTTGTTTATCATCGTCTTTAGGGCTTGTTTTTGCCTGCTCAATGGCCTTTTGCTCTTCTATCAGAGTAATTTGGTCATCTTCAGGTTTGAAGATAATATCTTCAGGTTTTGGTTGAATTTGTTGCTCTGCTGTTTCCTTTTTTTCTGGTTTCTTTCTTCTCCAAAAAGGAGTAGGTATATCATCTTCTGGTAACTTTTCTTTTACTTTAGGAATAATGTTAGATTCATATTTTCTGGTATCATGTGCATATTTTACTGTTTTTTCTACTTCTGGAATATCCTTTTCAAATATTTTTCTTTCTTCTTCATGTTTATCTACCTCATAACTTTCAGTTATTTCTTTTTTCTTTCTCCATGGTAACTCAGGCTTTTCTTTCAATTCAGGAATTGAACCAGACAACTCTGATCTAACAAACGGCTGTAGAGGTACATCTTCGTCTATGTCTGATTCTTCCTCATTTGAAGGAAGAACAGCTATCTGTTCAATACCTTCATTTGTGGTTGTATGTTTTATAATACCTTTTTTCTTTCCTTTTTTTGGTTTTGGTTTCTCAGGAGAAAATTCTCCTATGATTTCTTCAGGTTTATCAGAAATAAACTGCACATGTTTCTCTTTTTTAGGTGATTTGTCTTCAATCAGAGTATCATATTTTACATCTTCAACTGATTTAGAAACATTTTGATCTGCTGTAATACTTTGTGTATAATCAGTATCCTTTTTAATTATCTCAGTATCCTTAACCTCACAAATTATCTTTAAAACCCTTTGGTCAGATGTATCAGGCATAATAACTTTAGGTTTAGGTCTCCATGGTAAATAACTTTCTTTGCCTTCAGTTTGCAATGTTTCATCAATTATTATTTCTTTATCTTGTACATCAGTTCTTTCTTCTATAAGAGTTTTAAATTTATTATTGGTGTCTGTTGAAGAGAATTCCTGCTTTGTTATAATATTGACAGTATCACTTATTACCATTCCTTCATCTAATGTTTCAAAAGTTTTTAATGTTTCTTTTTCCACATGTGTAGATTTCTTAACGGTCTTCTTTAATTGGGACTTTTCCTGTGTTGAAGGTACACCTTTTTGTGGAACTGTAGGAAGTTCAACTTCTTTAGCTTGATCTCCAACAGTTTCAAGTTTTTCCACTTCTGATTGCTCTTTGGGATGTTCTTTTGTTATTGGTTTCAGTGTGACTTCACTTGATTCTGTGGCTTCTCTAGAAGAGCGTCTAGCTGGTTTTAATTCAACTGTCTCTAATGTTTCTTTTTCAACTTTCTTTGGTTCTTTGGGTGCCTTCTTTAACTGAATTTTCTCTTGGGTCCAAGGCACATCCTTTTGTGGAACTGAAGGAAGTTCAACTTCTTTAGGTTGATCTCCAGCAGTTTCAGATTTTCCAACTTCTGATTGTTCTTTTGTTATTGGTTTCAGTGTTACTTCACTTGAATCAGGAACGTCACTAGAAGTCCGCCTACCTGGTTTTAATTCAACTGTCTCTAATGTTTCTTTTTCAACTTTCTTTGGTTCTTTCAGGGCCTTCTTTAACTGTATTTTTTCTTGGGTCCAAGGCACACCCTTTTGTGGAACTGAAGGAAGTTCAACTTCTTTAGGTTGATCTCCAGCAGTTTCAGGCTTTCCAACTTCTGATTGTTCTTTTGTTATTGGTTTCAGTGTTACTTCACTTGAATCAGGAACGTCACTAGAAGTCCGCCTACCTGGTTTTAATTCAACTGTCTCTAATGTTTCTTTTTCAACTTTCTTTGGTTCTTTCGGTGCCTTCTTTAACTGAACTTTCTCTTGGGTCCAAGGTACACCTTTTTGTGGAACTGAAGGAAGTTCAACTTCTTTAGGTTGATCTCCAGCAGTTTCAGATTTTCCAACTTCTGATTGTTCTTTTGTTATTGGTTTCAGTGTTACTTCACTTGAATCAGGAACGTCACTAGAAGTCCGCCTACCTGGTTTTAATTCAACTGTCTCTAATGTTTCTTTTTCAACTTTCTTTGGTTCTTTCAGGGCCTTCTTTAACTGTATTTGTTCTTGGGTCCAAGGCACACCCTTTTGTGGAACTGAAGGAAGTTCAACTTCTTTAGGTTGATCTCCAGCAGTTTCAGGCTTTCCAACTTCTGATTGTTCTTTTGTTATTGGTTTCAGTGTTACTTCACTTGAATCAGGAACGTCACTAGAAGTCCGCCTACCTGGTTTTAATTCAACTGTCTGTAATGTTTCTTTTTCAACTTTCTTTGATTCTTTCGGTGCCTTCTTTAACTGAACTTTCTCTTGGGTCCAAGGTACACCTTTTTGTGGAACTGAAGGAAGTTCTACTTCTTTAGGTTGATCTCCAACAGTTTCAGGTTTTTCCTCTTCTGATAGTTCTTTGGGCTGTTCTTTTGTTATTGGTTTCAGTGTGACTTCACTTGAATCAGGAATATCTCTAGATGACCGCCTACCTAGTTTTAATTCAACTGTCTCTAATGTTTCTTTTTCAACTTTCTTTGGTTCTTTTGGTGCTTTCTTTAACTGTATTTGTTCTTGGGTCCAAGGCACACCCTTTTGTGGAATTGAAGGAAGTTCAACTTCTTTAGGTTGATCACCAACAGTTTCAAGTTTTTCCACTTCTGATTGTTCTTTGGGATGTTCTTTTGTTATTGGTTTCAGTGTGACTTCACTTGATTCTGTGACATCTCTAGAAGACCGTCTAGCTGGTTTTAATTCAACAGTTTCTAATGTTTCTTTTTCTATTTTCTTTGGTTCTTTCGGTGCCTTCTTTAACTGTATTTTTTCTTGGGTCCAAGGCACACCCTTTTGTGGAACTGAAGGAAGTTCTACTTCTTTAGGTTGATCTCGAACAGTTTCAGGTTTTTCCACTTCTGATTGTTCTTTGGGATGTTCTTTTGTTATTGGTTTCAGTGTGACTTCACTTGAATCAGGAACGTCTCTAGAAGACCGCCTACCTGGTTTTAATTCAACCGTCTCTAATGTTTCTTTTTCCTGTTTCTTTGGTTCTTTCGGTGCCTTCTTTAACTGTATTTTTTCTTGGGTCCAAGGCACACCTTTTTGTGGAACTAAAGGAAGTTCAACTTCTTTAGGTTGATCTCCAGCAGTTTCAGGTTTTCCAACTACAGATTGTTCTTTTGTTATTGGTTTCAGTGTGACTTCACTTGAATCTGGAACATCACTAGAAGACTGCCTACCTGGTTTTAATTCAACCGTCTCTACTGTTTCTTTTCCAACTTTCTTTGATTCTTTCGGTGCCTTCTTTAACTGTATTTTTTCTTGGGTCCAAGGCACACCCTTTTGTGGAACTGAAGGTAGTTCAACTTCTTTAGGTTGATCTCCAACAGTTTCAAGTTTTTCCACTTCTGATTGTTCTTTGGGATGTTCTTTTGTTAATGGTTTCAGTGTGATTTCACTTGATTCTGTGACATCTCTAGAAGACCGTCTAGCTGGTTTTAATTCAACAGTTTCCAATGTTTCTTTTTCAATTTTCTTTGGTTCTTTCGGTGCCTTCTTTAACTGTATTTTTTCTTGGGTCCAAGGCACACCCTTTTGTGGAACTGAAGGAAGTTCTACTTCTTTAGGTTGATCTCGAACAGTTTCAGGTTTTTCCACTTCTGATTGTTCTTTGGGCTGTTCTTTTGTTATTGGTTTCAGTGTGACTTCACTTGAATCAGGAACGTCTCTAGAAGACCGCCTACCTGGTTTTAATTCAACCGTCTCTAATGTTTCTTTTTCCTGTTTCTTTGGTTCTTTCGGTGCCTTCTTTAACTGTATTTTTTCTTGGGTCCAAGGCACACCCTTTTGTGGAACTGAAGGAAGTTCAACTTCTTTAGGTTGATCTCCAGCAGTTTCAGGTTTTCCAACTTCAGATTGTTCTTTTGTTATTGGTTTCAGTGTGACTTCACTTGATTCTGTGACATCTCTAGAAGACCGTCGAGCTGGTTTTAATTCAACAGTCTCTAATGTTTCTTTTTCAATTTTCTTAAGTTCTTTCGGTGCCTTCTTTAACTGAACTTTCTCTTGGGTCCAAGGTACACCTTTTTGTGGAACTGAAGGTAGTTCAACTTTTTTCGGTTGATCTCCAACAGTTTCAAGTTTTTCCACTTCTGATTGTTCTTTGGGATGTTCTTTTGTTATTGGTTTCAGTGTGACTTCACTTGATTCTGTGACATCTCTAGAAGACCGTCTAGCTGGTTTTAATTCAACAGTTTCTAATGTTTCTTTTTCAATTTTCTTAAGTTCTTTCGGTGCCTTCTTTAACTGAATTTTCTCTTGGGTCCAAGGTAAACCTTTTTGTGGAACTGATGGTAGTTCAACATCTTTATGGTGATCTTCAATAGTTTCAGGTTTTTCCATTTTGTATTGTTCTTGTGGTCGACCTGGTAGAGTCTTTTCTTTTGTTATTGGTTTTAGAGTTATTTCACTTGAATCAGTGACGTCTCTAGAAGACCGTCTAGCTGGTTTTAATTCAACTTTTTCTAATGTTTCTTTTTCAATTTTCTTAGGTTCTTTAGGTGCCTTCTTTAACTGTATTTTTTCTTGGGTCCAAGGTACACCTTTTTGAGGAACTGAAGGTAGTTCAACATCTTTAGGTTGATCTTCAACAGTTTCAGATTTTTCCATTTCAGATTGTTCTTTGGGTCGACCTGGCAGAGTCTTTTCTTTTGTTATTGGTTTTAGAGTTACTTCACTTGAATCAGTGACGTCTCTAGAAGTCCGTCTAGTTGGTTTTAATTCAACAGTCTCTAATGTTTCTTTTTCGACTGGTTTGTGTTCTTTGGGTGCCTTCTTTAACTGTATTTTTTCTTGGGTCCAAGGTACACCTTTCTGTGGAGCGGTTTTTGCTAATGTTTCTTCTTTATGTTCATCTTTTACAAGTACTCTGGAATTTATATCTTTTAATTTGATTGTAGCTTGTTTTAATTCAGTCTTATGTTTTGTTACAGATTTAAATGTAATGTTACTTGCTTCTGGAATATCTTCTGGAGCCATCTTAGCTCTCTCCTGAGGCCTTGCTCCTGCTGATCTTTCCCTTGTTTTTCTCCAAGGTGCACTTGTAGGTCTTGTATCAAGAGATCTTCCCCTGGGTCTACGCCACCCAACAGTTTTTTTAGATTCACTATCCTTTTGTCTTGAATCTTCTATTTTTTCTAATTCTTGGTTTGAGCTAACAGGTGATGAAATAGAACTGAAAACCCTATCTTTAACAGTACTATGGTAGTCACTACCCTTTTCATCAACCACTTTGGTTTCTTTGAAGCTCACAAATCCTGTAATTGACATATAAATTATCTTATTCTTAATTTTTATTAAGCAGTACACATACAAAAGTCATTGGCAATGGAATTTCTATATATCCCTTTTTAGACACAATCTATATGGAAACCTTCTCAGAATTATAAATACTTTTTTTTTTATAAATGTTAATACCTTTAAATTCTGATTATTTTTTACTTAAAATTAAACATAAACATTAAAGTAGCAATAAATCATAGTATAGCATTAGCTGATTCAATAAAATTTTGCAACTTTCAGGGAAAGAAGAAAAGAATTTTTAATGGAAGTTATTCTCTCCAAGAGTGAATTGAATCAAGCCAAATGAGAAGGGGGGTCAACGAGGGTCACACCCCCGGGGCCCAGCCTCTCAACGACATCAAGTCTAGCATATAAGGTTTTATTTTTAATATTTATATGAAGTATAAGGAACATTACTTATATTATAAAATAATTATAATATCATTATATCATATTACAGTCATATCTTTACATAATATTTTTGTTGCATGTTTTAATTCAAAGGATCTCTTAGAAACTATATTTATGATATTAATGATTAATTTCAATTCCATCTCCTGAATTTCAGAACTATTTCTTGTATTTTAAATATTTCATCAAAAAATTTATTTTTTAATGTTTACAAGATGGAATTATATATTACCCTCCCCACAATAACTGGTAAAAAGTAACGAAGAATCCTGCATCTGGTTTTTGATTGGAGGAGGGGAAGAAGGACAGAAAACTGACTTTTTTAAAAAGTTTTTTGAGAATATCTCAAAAACGATGAGTTATTTTTGCAAATATTGTTCATTACAATATTGAAGTACTTTAAAATCTCTATAAAAATGACTCCATACATTTTTTAAAAATTAAATCAATGGTCATTGTAAAATCATATTTATTGTGTTTCAACTTTAAGTGAAAATTTCTCCAAATCAAATGAAATTGGTGCTGTTCGTAGTAGATGATACCATTTTGAAATTAAATTATTTTTTCTGCCCTCACTACCTATGCTGATGACACATGTGTGTTGTCTGTCAATAATGAACCAACTATTGCATCACAAACCCTGCATTCACACATTTCAGCCATTGAAAAATGGTGTGCAAATTGGAGAATTAAAATTAATCCAAACAAATCCCAAAAATTACTTTTACCCTTCGCCGTAAACCTACTACATCCTGTCCCACCGTATCCTTTAACAATATTCCACTGATCCCTGTCGAACAGATCCGTTACCTAGGACTCCTTCTTGACAAACGCCTTACTTAGAATCCTCATACTAAACTTAAAAGACAGGAAACTGTCAACAGATTCCGACTACTACAAACATTACTTGACAAATGCTCTAATCTTCCAATATTCTACAAAGAACTCATTTACACTACCATCATCAGGCCCTTTTGGACATACGGTATTGAGCTTTGGGGCTCTAAAAAAACATCAAATTCTTCCCATATCCAATCCTTACAATCCAAAATCCTAAATGCTCCTTATAATGTAACAAATAAAATCATCTATAAAGACCTCAACATTTCTCTTGTGGCAGACTTGGCCAGAACTAGATATACCTCTTTTCACTCCAAACTCTTTGGTCACCCCAATCCTCTAGTTTGTAACCTTTCATCCAACACAATTCCGGACAACCCTCCGAGCCATCTGAAAAGAAGATGGCCAAGGGACCTCCTAAATTAACTAATTTTTGAAGTGTTACCAATAGATAGCTTCTTCACAAGTACCTTCATGTAATATATTCCTACATCAAATGTACTTGTATATTTGTTTACAGTTGTAAATTTCAATAAAATAATAAAAAAAAAATGATTTTTTTAACATTTTCTATTGTTCAAATTGTCATTAAAAGTTTTTTTTTTTGATAATTCTAAAAAGTCATTGACAAAAGGATTGTATTCAATATAAATCAATATGGAATTTCACGATATTGGTATGAAGTTTAGATTGACATTGATTTCATTAAATTGATATTATGTCATAGCAGATTAAAACCTACAAAAAAGTTACTATAAATCATGGTCTGATTTCATACAGACAGCCAGAAAACTTTAATTTTGTATTTTTAAAATTTACCAGGTTTTTTGTTGAAAAAGCAATAACTAAAAAATTTGTTTAATTTAGGTGACAACCAATTACTTCATACTAATCTACATAAAACTTACATTAAATGCAAATACATTTTGTCTTTTTAAAAACCATTTAAAGAGGACTTTTAAACAAAAGTTCAGTTTTTAATAAAATCAAGGATTTTTCGCAATTTTTTTTATAAGCCCCTAACCGGACTGAAGATACCACACTTATAGAAAAACTTCCTTGTTTGATGAGATTTAAATCTATAATAATTAGGCTGAAGTTTATTCCAGAGTAAGTTGAATTTACGTGTACAGAGTAAATATGATTTTATTGTACTAATAACCTTTTTACTGAATTAGTGATGAATCTCAACTTACTCAGTAGCAAACTTCACCTTTATTAATATAGATTAAAAGCTCATCAAACAAGAAAGTTTTTCTAAAAGTGCTGTATCTTCAGTCCAGTTGGGGGGTTACAAAAAAAGAATTCTTAATTTTATGAAAATCAGAACTTATTGTAGTTTAAATGCTTAAAAATCCCCTTTAAATGTTTTTTAAAATGACAACATTTATTTTCGTTTAATGTAATCAGCACTGTGAAGTAATTGGTTGTAATCTAAATTAAATATTTTTTTAGTTATTGCTTTTAATAAATAGTCAGGAATCAGTCATTTTAAAGGTTTTAGTGCTCGAAACATGCAGTGATGAGGACCCACATCATCATTCATCAGAAACATCGGCATTCAATAAAAACCTTCAAAATGACTGCGTCCTGATTATTTATCACCCATGATATGTAGAATAGGCGACTAACTTCCTTCAATAATTCTTTAAAAAATATAAAATTAAAGCTTCCTGGTTCTATTTATAAAATCAGATCATTGTTTATAGCAGACTTGGGCAGTATTTCAAATAAAGTAATTTAAAATTCAAAATAAAATTCTTTGTATTTGTATTTTAAGAAGTAAAATACAAAATACATTGAAATGTATATGTATTTTATTTCTAAAATACAAAATACATGGAATGTATTTTATTTCTAAAATACAAAATACATGGAATGTATTTTATTTCTAAAATATAAAATACATGGAATGTATTTTATTTCTAAAATACAAAATACATGAAATGTATTTTATTTTGTATTTTAAATACATAAAATACATTATCAAATTAAGAAGGCGCCTTTAAGTTATGTAGTAATGCTAATCCTTCGTACAAGAACTTGCCCATGAAAATTGAGCCAGAAAATTTTTTAAGGTCAATGGTGCTAAATTTTTAATAGAATTATCTTTGGTAATAAAACTGGTAGGTAGATCTCTAATGTGTTGATTGCTCCCAGAATGAAATTGTTGAATGATCAATTATTTGAGGAATGGGTATTATTTATTATATTTTTTCTACATCCACTATCCAATGTCCAATGTAACCACCCCTAACCACCCCTTCCCTCTGCCACTGCTTCCCTTAAAAAAAAAAATATATAATTTATGAAGCAAACTATAAATTATTTATAGGAATCAGTTGTAAAGTGTAACTAGGTTTATTAGACGTAAGTATTTTGTATTTATATTTTTATTTTTGTATTTAAAATACTTTTTTTGCAAGAATTTTAAATACGTTGTAATTAAAATACAACATATTTTAAATATGCTGTAATTAAAATGAACCGTATTTTAAAAACACAAAATACATGTTTTTTAAATACTGTATTATAAAATAATAATTAAAATATATTTTGTCCAGTTCTGGTTTATAGAATATTTTTTGTAGGTTTTAAGGTCTGCTATAACATAATATCAATTATATGTAATCAATGTCAATCTAAACTTCATATCAATATCGCGAGATTCGGTATTGATTGATATCGAATACAATTCTTTTGTTAATTACTTTTTAGAATTATCAAAAAAAAATAAATAATGATAATTGAAAATTTAAAAATGGTATCATCTATTACGAACAGCACCAATTTCATTTGATTTGGAAAAATTTTCACTTAAAGTGGAAACACAATAAATATGATTTTACAATGACCATTGATTTAATTTAAAAAAAATGTATGGAGTCTTTTTTATAGAGATTTTAAAGTACTTCAATATTGTAATGAACAATATTTGCAAAAAAAAATTATCATTTTTAAGATATTCTCATTTCAGTTTTCTGTCCTTCTCCCCCTCCCTAGCATTAAAACCCAACACGGGATTTTTTACCAGTTATGAGGAGGGTAATAAACAATTTCTGACAAGTTTCATCTTTATTTTTTTAATATTGGGATAAGGCTTTTTTTTCCACAACTGTACTGGATTATTAAGGCATTCATTAAATAAATCTTTCATGAGGAGTAAATTGTTGGTTGAATTATTTGAATTTTTTCTTAGAACATTTCTTGAACTCCCAAATTGTATTAATACAATTACAGTGGGAGGAATTTCACCTGTTACACTAATTGACAATTCTAGAATAAATCAGGATAGAATTACACTGAACTAACTATTCAACTTTAGAAGATGTTTATTTTTATTTTTATTTTTTAAGTTAAGATTCCCACAGAAGTCATTAAAAATTATTAGTAGTTTAAAATTTTGTCATTTCATAATTAAAGGACAGGTTTCAATGAAAACAAATCACCAACCATCTGTGTTTTTATCAGGTTATGAAAAGTAAAGAAATTTTCTGTGAATCCGCAGAAAAAGGTAAAGAAACCATGTGATTCAGTTGCTGTTCACCAAATAATTTATTTTGCTCATTCTATTGTGATTAGACAATGAGACACAAATTGAAATTAAGTGATTTAAAAGAAAATTAAACTATAAATAAAATATATTTATTAAGTTAATATTGTGTAATATCGAAATGGAGAATCACAATCTGAAAAACAAGAGAAGAGAACTTCATTAACCAATTAGCCAATTTTTTTGTGAGGTCTTTGTCACACCTACATAAATCTCTACAGGGCGAGAAGGAGGAGTTATTGAACAAGTTACTAACTTATTTAGTCAGAGTGAGAAGGATAAAATTTATTAGAGGGCAACTTGAGTAATACCAGCGTACTGCTCCCTCGCATTCTCAATTTTCACCTCCTTCTCACTAATTTTTGTGATATTAATTTAGTAGCACATCTTGAGTTGTTCAAATAATATTCACACGTAATAATTGTAGAAGTTTGAATTTCATTTTTGTTTTTATTTAGTCTTTAATATTTTTCTTATTATAACTCATAATAAAACAAAATGGCAATAGTTCTCCTCACAAGCAATCAAGAAGACATTGAAAGACTTAATCAGACTCTGTTAACAGAAGTAGAACAAATAGGCTTTCAAGTTTTTTTTCAAGTTAATGAAAATAAAACAAAATATATTTTAGAAATCTGAAAAATCCATCCTAACAAAAGAATCTGTATAGATTGATTTTTTTTTTTTTTTTTTTTTTTTTTTGCGAGAATAGACAGATTCAAACATAATATTGCTATACAATAACCTAAATAAAAGAGCAAATATCTGAGGAAGACCAGCATAAATAGAGCTTTCTCTTCTCTTTTTAGAGTACTTAAAATTCTGAAAAGTTTCTAGAAATCTCAAATTAAGGGTATAAAATGCTGTGATAAAGCAATTGCTGATATACAGATGTGAAACCTGGATTCTAACCAGTACCCTGAAAGAAAAACTGAAAGATTTGAGAAGAATGTCAACATCTACAAAGTTAATAAAGGCAACAGAAAAAAAAAAAAAAATTGCAGTTCACTAGTGATTAAGTGACTTAAGATCGCTCGCTGACAGCCAAATGATCATTAACCAAGCATCTTATATTATAAGAGAAGTAAAAACTGAATAATTTTTCAATAATTACCACAGATTTAATTTAAAATTCTTTAGTGGATACTAGGAAAGAATTAAAAAAAAAGTTTCAACCTTTATCGTTATTTTTTATGAAAATCTTTTCCTTTGTTTCAAGAGTAATTATAAACTACCAAAGACATTACTGATTATAAAAAAATATATATTATTAAAAGATAAATCTTTATATGTACAAATAATTGTCTACTTGTTGGGAACATATGTTGTCAAGATGTAGACAACTCATAGGGGCAAGTGGGGGTCTGATAGTGGGTGGGAGGCACCCTCCCACCACTGTCAGTGTATTTCTGGCCTAGCGATCTGCTGCCGCTCCAGTGTCTTCACTTCTGTAGACCTATGTTGATACTGCTCTCACTTCATGTGCTCTATGTCAAGTTAGAATATTGTGCTCTATTTTATAGATTAACAGGTTTGGTTTAAGTATACATATTACCATTATGTTTAATTAATGATACTGTTGGTTTTATGTTTATTTCTTAATTATATGTTTAATTTGGTTCATTTATTATGAAATATTAAAAACCAGGAATGGTTATGAGTTGAAATTCTAGAGAATTTTGTAAATTAAACATTATTTATATGCTTATGACTAATGAATGAATTATATCTATAAAATATAAAATACTCCTTCTAAAACTTATCAAGTCAATCAAAGAAAAAAATAGAAAACTGTACATATAAGTCTTAGACTAACTTATAGAATCATTATTAATAATAGAGTATAGTTCAATAAGTAAATAAAGCTAACATAATATTTTTTTTCAAATGAAATCAAACATTTGAACAAATGAGACGCTTTAGATTTTTTTAATAAGATGCAACTAACATTTGTTAAGCAATACAGTAAAACTATGTGCTTCCTACATTACCTTATATAAAAAATATTAAAAGGCATAATTTTTTACTAATAAAAAGAAACTAGATGAACGATAAATAGTAGAGCATGAGTGAGAAAGCCTGCAGTAAGAATACAAGGAGAAGAGGACAAGGACACAAGAAAGCGGATGACATCATTCATGCCATATTTGCCCATCATCTGACTCCTGTCCTTCCATGGGTAATAGCTAATCTCATGACCTCGTCCTGTTTTCTTCTTTCTTAGTGCATGTCTTATTTCATTAAATTAAAGGCCAGTGTAAATATCTTTCAATAAATCAAATTATTATTTAGTGTCTTTTCTTAATCCTAAACCTCCACCTTCACAAACTCCAATGAAACAAACATTTATTTTAAGGATTTAAAAGCCTTGAACTAGCTCTCGACAGCCTGGCTTAGTGATTCACTAGGCCTCTGGACAACAGCCAGCCTGACTCACATGAGTAGTGCCCGAGCAATGCATGAGTCACAAGAGATAGTTGACGGGGCAGCCCAAACAGTATAGCATTGGATTTATTGAGGCTGGGACAGATTTAAACAATGATTCAACAGTTTAAAAACATTTTTCTGTAATCAAGAATGTGTTTATATTTAGGATATTTGCTGTCACGGTACATTATTAAAATGTTTTTACTAGACGAAAAAAAGGTAACATATTAGCTAAAAGAGATTTCTAGAGAGGATTGTATCGAATAAATTAGTTATGCCGATAGTTGGACCAAAAACATGTTTTATCATCCTAATATTTCAGAATAACAAAAATATGAAGTTCTATTCAGTTGATAGTGACATAAATGAGTTGGAATAAATAATTAGCTAGAAGTTGGAAGGAGATATCAGGTAAAAGCAGCACAGAGGGGCAAGCTCCAAATTTAGTCACAGCAGGAGATATAGGCTTTGAGGTGGGAATAAATAGAACTCTAGCAGGCACACATGCAAGCAACCATTTTACAATACATTCTCTCATAAAGAACTAAGACTATAATATTTTCCAAATTTCTTTTCTATTTAATGTTATCCCTTACGGCCTAGTTTAGAAGTTTATAACTTCTACATATGTTCAAATAAAGCAAGATGATAGTTAGAAAATGAGTTGAGACAATTACCGATTTTTTGTTTATATATTTTTTAGATTAAAAAATTATTAATAGTGTTCTATTTTGCAGTAAAATATTTTATTTCACAGTTTATGACCTTCACTCTCAGTAGCAAAGGTTTTCTCAATTTAAACAACAGTTCCAACAATGAAGTTAAGATAAAAATATTTTGTATTAAAAAATTCAACCCACCACAGTTTTCTATTAGGAAATTTTTAAAATTAGATGTAAATTGGTATTTGAATTGGCTTCAAATTAAACATATGTAATTGGAATTAATTAAAATGGAACAAAAATTTAAAATCTTCAAAAATCGGTATTATCAAATGTCTTTGAAAATTGTTTAAATATTTTGTAGTTAAACATACAAATTAAAAGAAAAAATCACAGAGCTTAGATAAATTTATTTTAGATTATTATTAAAAGATTAAAATTGACATTGTTGATTAGCCTTCACAGCTTTTTTGTTCATTAACTTTCTCACAAGTTAATATGAAGTAATTACCTTACAATTCACTCCATTCATCAAAACATAATTTAACATTTATTCCACTGTAAAAAAATAAGAGGTAAAAGATGAAAGAAATACAATACACTTGGGTAATGGACGAAGAAAGACAAAAGGAAAATAGATGCATGAAAATACAGTTTTATTAAATAGACTTTCCGTTCAATTACATAGCAACTTAAATACTTGTTATTTATTTGTATATATATATATAATACATATTGTAACTATAATTAAGTAAATAGCAATATAGCTAGCACACAGTTTTTCTGTATCACCTTCAATTAACTAGGCACTAAGCAATAAGCTTTTATGTTATATTTATTTTTGATTCATGAGTTGACTAGGACTCAATATGGTAACTATTTATGTCAAATGGTAAAGTCTTTCTTAAATAAATATTTCCTATATCATAACTACTAATTTTGTATCAAAATATAATATCTCTTATTAGTAAAGGCTGTACAACGTTAAAATTAATAAAATATTTTTTTCCATAGCATTTAAATATTTGGAAATTTAAAATAAAAAAGCTTTAATACCGGCAAAAGCGCCAAACTACAACTTTTTTTTTTTTTTCTGTTTCTTGACATAGTCAGATTCCTTCATTAAATGGTAAGGTATGCCAAGTTTTTCAGGGCTTACTTTTGACAATAAGACGTGCAGATGTTTCTGCTTGTCCTGCTGAGTTGGTTGCACGGCAAGTGAAAGTGCCTGAATCTTCTTCATAAGTTGTAGCAATTAACAGGACCACATTCTTACCCTCATGAATCATCTGTTTAAAAAGAACGCATGTTATCTACTATTTTTATACTTTGTAATTATTATTTGAAATGATAAAGTAAAAATTGGTCTTAGTCACAGTAAACTAAATAAATATTAGTTGATGCAATTTATATAATTATATAAAAGTTTTATATAAGAAAAATCTTAAATAAAACAAATACATGATAACAGTATATATCATATCATAAAATATCGTAGCATGAACCACTAGAACTTAAAACCTCAAGTAGAACTCAGAAGATTTTTTGAAAATTTCAAATATTCTGCAATATAGTCTTGCATAGCTCCATTTTATCGTAATTTTATTTCATACCAATGTAGAAAAAAAAAAATTATAAAAGTTGAGGAACTGAGAGCTAAAATATAGAAGTAGAAGGAGCATAGGGTTTAGCTTGGCACAGGCGGAGGGCAAGGGGTCAGATATGTCACAACCTCAAATTTCATTTTTAGATTTGTTCAAAACTTATGAAGCATAGGTAATTTTGATATTGAGCATTCTGGCTAAAAACGGCATAATAGAATAGTGCTATAAAGAAACAGTGAAAATAAATAAATCTTCAGGTTTAAAATATAACTTAACCAGAATGGGATGAAGAACAATAAAAATTTCTCATAATAAGAGATTGGAATATTAACAGATATGATCAGATAAAAATTTCAAAGTAGGAAATTTGACAGTGGTCAGAAAAAAATTCTCAAATGTAAAAATATTGACAGGAAGGTGTTTAGTTAATTAAAACACATTTAAACTGCAAACTAAGCAATAATATTGGGGAGGTAAGAAAGTTGTTTTTAACATATCTTTCTCTCTCCCACAATATCATAATAACATTAAATATCTAATTACAAAATATAACCAATCTTTAACTATCTACTTTTAAGGAAGTTAACTCTGAATTTATTTATCTAAAATAAAAAAACAAAACAATTATCATTAAATAAAATACAGCAAAGCTTCTAGACACTAAAGAAGAGCTGTTCAGGTTTCAATTTAAATGGAGATAAAACTAAATATAATTAGTAAAAAGCAGGAGATATAAAAGTATTATTAATTTAGGGGGTTTGATTCATAAAGAAATCTGAGATTTAGAACATCTAAAACTAATGAAACTTATGACGAAATGACATTACTTTCTTTGCAAAGTTACATGCTACCAGATTTGTCTGGATTACAAAAGATGATTAAAAGAATTACTAGAGGAACTGTGGTACAAGAACATGAATAGAAATTGGTGAGGATCTAGGACGTTACCTGACCTATTGCCCCTTTCCACCTATCCAGATGGCTAACCCAGAGATTCAAATTAGAATGGCAAAGATTCATTTTATAGGACTGCCAAAAAATAGTTATTTATTACCTCAGATAAGAATCTAACTCATAACATCCCCAGAAACAGGTTCTTCTAGGAATCACATTTCAAAGCACTAAACCGATATCATTATGACCTCTAGATATGCACCAATGAACTAGGGACTGAATAAATACCCAATAAAAAGAGTAAATATAGAAATTGGTATTGTCAATTTGCAATTCAGTGGCTTATTTTACATTAATTTCCAAATTCCAGAATTATACATACTATGGCCTGATTTCCAACAGCTCAAGGAGATAATTTTAACATGGGTATTTTAGAATTTGATTTTTAAACATTCTTTATAGAAAACGTCTCCATCATTGCTGTTTACAGTGCCATTTTGTCTCTTTAGAGACCTGTATCTAATGTGCTATTATTTTATAATGATTCAATTTTTCTACTTGGGACAGCTATTGCTTTATTTTAAGCATGAAATACTAAAAATCATCATTTATTAAAAATGTAAATTGTTTCCCGCTTATTTAGGATATATGATCTAACCATTTCTTGAAATTTATAAGTTTTAGCAATGGTTAATTATTAAATCAACACGTGGCTCTGAATTTACTAAATATACTTTAAATACATATATAAAAAGAGTATTATAAGTTTAATTAAATGGACAGGGAATACAGTGAATTAAATTACTAAAATAACAATGTTAATTCCCTTGAATATTTTTATTCCATTGTTACTTCTAAATAAAAATTTTCATTTTCCTGTACAATGTGAATGTATTAGTTGATATCCTAAAAATCCTTCTTCAAATTCAAAGAGAGTAAATCTAGTCATAGTATATTCATGGTGGTATTCACAAACATTAGAAAGGACATACTGTTCCTAAATGACAACTATTTTAATCAGTGGGTATATTTCTATAGAGGATGGCAATAAATAAATTTTGTATAAATAAAATAAAAGTACAAACCATACATTAAAAACATATACAATTTAATGTCAGATATCCTCATCATAATTACAAGAAATCTATTGTTGCATTAAAAAATTTTAAGACAAACAACTAAAAAAACAATGCACACTAATGTTAATAAAGAGCAATGTGTCATGAATAAAGATATCCAGGCAGCAGGTGTGCAGTTCTGAACCAATCACTGAAAAGAATGACAGCAGGAATAGTAAAGGATTTTCTAAGCCAGTAGCTTGTGACATTCAAAGAGTGAAAGGAATATACGGACCAATTAAGGTCAGTGGAATTTGAATAGATCAAGCACATAAATAATCAATCCTACAACTAATTTTTCTTTTATCTAAAAATAAGTACAGATGAAATTGCCAGGTTTTCATGTTCAATAGTAAATAATCCAATCTCAGGGGCATTTCAGTAATGCTAAAATCATTAACCCTAGAATGACACAAAAGTATTCTTCTGAAGAAATCCATAAATTGTTATGGGAGTTAGAAGATGAAGAAAAGGTGCAAGGAGCATAGTAAATAAAGACAGCACAGTCAATTTGAAACAAATGCATCGTTTGTACACTACAACAAGAAAACAAGGATGTTGTCTCTCTGACGTTTCTTTGGAATGATGAACCATGCTGGTATAAACTGATTGATATTGTTCAGCTTCGTTAACTGGGAAAAGAAGATGACATGGAGAAATTATTTATGTGGATTAGGCTGTTCGTTAATTGAGCCCTGTTAGAAAGGAAGAATGTAAGTTGAGACACTTACACGAACTGTGAGTTTCAACATAGATGAAATTTTGAGAATTAAAAAATAAACAACTACTGTTGAAAAAAAATAAGCCAAATATTTCTTTTGCACGAGAGGGATAAATATAAAGACAAAAATGGTTTGTCAGGAATGAACACAGGGCAACAATTTGCTTTGATTGTTGTGAGCGAGTGGTTACTTAAATGACCTCCACTATAAGTTTTATCTTTTTAAGTAAAAAATAATCCTTTATTATGTATATATTTCACATTCCAAATATATATTTTCAATGGAAAAATATTGATTCCTTTTTCTTTTTTAGGGATCCACATGTTAACTTTTTACTTTATGTGAGCATATAAAATATATTCTCTAAGGTTACCTTGAATTTTTTTTTTTTTGTTGTTTTCCTAATCATTTAGCTTATTTCTGAAAACTATTTGAGTTTTCCAGAGCATGACAATTAAATTTTATGATAATTTGAAGTTAGGGGTGTACCACACCCTAAAGTGTCAGAATGAGTTGAAATTTTTAAGTGTGTCGTTCTAGGGCTAAGACAGTGTTATATGCAATGAATGATCTCCAAATTAATCTACAAGCTTAATGGCATTCAATATTTGACATAATTAACCATTAACTCATTTATGAAGTTGATTTACAGCCCAAAAATATCTCCTTAAGAAATGTATTATACGAGGAAATTAATGTAATAAAATAATTTTAATAGGTTATAAGCATTAGAAAAATAAATAAAAAAATCAGATCCTACCTGAAAGTCAGGAGACTGTGGAATCAGATCACCTTCCCTGTACCACTGAATGGTTGGGGTTGGTTTGCCATTGACTTGAGTCCTGAATTGAGCTGAACTTCCTTCTTGAACAACAACATCCCTCATTTGGACAAGGGTTGGTGCTATTTCATTCGTATCAGGTGCTAGAAAAAAAAAAATGAGAAATTAATTGGATCCTAAATTAAAGTAGATTCAGGTATGTTGTTCAATTTATATCTGTATCAGGGGTATCTATCTCCCCAAACTGAGGTCGATCCCCAAAACACTAAAACCAAACCCCTCCGATGAAATTTTATTCCTCTTTTCTTTTTCAACAGTATAAATGAAAGTAGAATTGGAAAAATTGCACATCATATAAAATCACAGTGTTGCTGTGACTGTTTTATCTTATTACCCCATGTTACCTACAATGTTACTCCACAAAAATATAGCTCCTCCCAAAAATCCATAACGCCATTAAAATGTGCCCCCCAAGAAAGTCTGAAATATCATAAAGATGTGCTCCCTCAAAACTTTTGATGGCGCAACTTGCACCACCCCATCTAGGCATGACTGACCTGTATGAATTGTATAAATACTTGTCAATTTCAATCAAAATGAAAATTTTAAACAATAGAGCAACAATATCTGAATAAAGTAAAACTCAATGCCAAGTTTCCACCTAAAAATTAAATTAAATTTATAGTTTATCTACTCGAGATTCCAAATACTAGTTTCTACAAATATTAATTGAAGGAAAGAATCAAATCATCAATGAGATCAAGGCAAAATATGCAGATTCATGCGAAAATGAGGGTCAAAATGAAGAACAGATCAAAAGTTAAACAAGAACCATCTACCTTTCATGATTCTACATAGCTCAGATCCTAATTCAATATAAAGAATGACATGTATGTAGGTGTGAAATCTGTAATTTCTATCAGTACCTAACGTGACACAATAATATAAGAGCACCTTTAAATTGTGATATCCTTCAAGACAGTACAAGACCACTCTTAACAAAGATTAGCTAAACCATAATTTATGCCACCAAATTCTGCTTGAGGTAGATGAAAGGGAACCCAAAATTTTGAAAGAATGTAAACTGATTATATGGAGCAATTAGAAGGATGAAAAGGGCAGAAGAACAGACAACAGTCAGCCACATTCTGATATTTGTGACAGCGTGTAAATTAATCAAACTGTCATCAGAATAAATGAGTAACAAAATCATTTCTTTTCATCATCAAATCATCAAAAGAGGCATTTCTTTTCTCTTCCCTTTCCTGGCCTTTTAGGCTATAGGAAAGCTAGGAAGCTGAAATACTCTTATCACCAGGCATATTTAACCAGAATGACAAGATAGAGGTGAATTGATGAAAAGTAAATTTAGACCTGAAATATGATGTTAACATTGGAAGATGGCTAGACATTAGCAACAGAGGCCCAGACTAAAGCAACTTTAAACAAAATAAGTTAGTTCAATTTAAAAATATTCTCTGCATTCCCTAACTTTCAGCTTAGCATAACAAAAAAATATAAAATGAATTTAAAAGACAACAACCATACACACAGAGTCAAAACGATTTTTACTTTGGGAAATGTTTATAACCATTTAATGAACAAAAATGAATGGAAATAAAGGAAGTAGAATATAAATGTTTATAATTATGAAATTCGGTACAGTAAGTTATACCATTAATTTGATCATGAAACAATCAACAAGACTATATATGATAATGAATGATATAATGGTTATTTTGCTGATTCAGGTTATATTGAAAACCTTTATAATTAAAGTTTAAGTGACAGGTGTTGGGAGAATGTGGCTATTCAACCATTTGATAGGCACTACAGATGCTGTGCCGCCTACTCTGCTTCAATTAGTATCAAGCAACTACAAATTAATTAAATAAAAGAACTAATTAAAACATGCACATAATACGAAGTGTATCTCTCTGTCTGTGACAGAAATATTATAAAAAAGGTATAAACACTCTTTGTAATATTCTATGGTAGAACCAATGGAGTAAACAGTCAGTAAAACATATGTGTAGTCTCAAACAGTGGATTGCAAAATATGTCATTATTAAAGGTTGTTTCAGAAACGACAGTCAACCATTTACCCAAAATTTTAATTTATTTAGCATGTAGTTGCTTGCTACCAACTGAAATAGTGAGCAAAAATGTTCAATTTGCATTTTAATATTGATCAATTGCTAAAATGTTCATTAAAAAATAACTTAGTGATTTAATGTACATACCCAAGACTTTCAAGTTAGCAGTAAGTGTAAGTTGTCCAGAAGGATTACTTAAAACACACTTGTACTGTCCCTCATCTTCTGGGAACACTTCTGAGATCCTCAAAGTGTAGGTATCGGACCCTTCACGGCCCATTTGGAAGTACTTGCTGGGTTTGATGACTTCTGGTCCTTTGTACCATTGTACTTGAACGGCTGAAATCAAATTTAGCCTAAATAATGAGCTGATCGAAATTCTAACAAACACATTTCGATAAGAAAGCATGAGGAAATTGTACCTATTTGGAAATTATCCACTATAAAGCAAAAGAAAATTCTCAGGTAATGAACAATTAATATGAAGCTCTGGCCACAAAATGCACATAACCTTTTCTTTTTTGTGATAACCTTTTTAAAGTAATACATCTTACTCCTATAATATATCTTTTATTAGCAGAGGGAGGTGTACAAGAAATGATTGGTCGTCACTGAACTTTCAGATTTTTTAAGCCTTCATTTTATTGACTATTGAAAAAAATTATAATGGGTGCAATTCCAAAGTTTTTAGAGTGTGGTCTTTTTTACCTTTAATTTATCTTTGGATTTCAACTTCAGAAAAAATAAAAACAATATCATCATATTATATTAGATATGAATACATTTAAAAATCAAGAAATTTTAGTTTAAAAAAACACCAATTCTACAACTTTTGTCTGTTTGCGGGAGCTGGATTAATACATATAGTGATCCCTAAGCAGTTCTCAAACTTTCCTTGCACAGGCACCCTTGTTAAACTAAAAAAAAAATTGTGGCATCTTTATCGTAGTAAAAACAATTTGTAGCACAATTATGCTAAAATTGATAACAAAATAGAATCTTTATCCATTTTAAGTACAATATATATATATATATATATATAAATTAAATTTTCCCAGATATTATACTCAATTTAATAAATTTTAATTTTGATTCTGTTATTAATAAATATAAAATTAGGAATCTTCAGAATGCATAAATAGGCATTTCTTTTTTCTTCCCTTTCCTGGCCTTTTAGGCTATATGGGGTTTTCCTGAGCCAAGGGATGGTTATTGTGGAGATTAATGCCAGAGTTATAAGCCCCACTGGCACTGGGATGCGAACTCATAATTATTTTATTATCCATAACTTCAGTTATCAGGTTGCCGGCAGTGCTGAGCCTACGCGTTAGCCGGCTCGACCACCCTTCCCCCATTACATATTGAGCTATAATATCATTGCAACGACGCCCCTGGCATGTCCTTTATTTCTAGTTCAAGAATCTCTGCTTTAAACAATGCACATCTTGTCCCTCGTCCCCTTTTAATTCAATATGTTTCATTGCATAAAAAATACAGGTTACTTTGAAATTGATTCTGAAATTTTATTGAAATATTGCCAAGTAATGTTGAGAGAGGTAGGGTCAGGACAGTTGCTTGTGTTTATCAGAGTAATTGGGTTTTATTTTAGAAAAAAAAAAAACTGAAGTTCCTTAAGCTCTTGTATTCATACTTTGAGAAATTATTTACAATTTGAAAATAAACCGTTGGAAATGGTAGAGTGATCAAATATCAATAAAATAAGAATGTCATTCTACACTCTGATTTGAAATATTGATGGAATATACAAAGTAGTAACTATGAGCAGGTTGAGAGAGAGAGAATCATAAAACTTGGAAGAACTTAAAGATCTGATTATAAAATTAGTGCTAACAAAGCTAAGGTGGATAATTTACAAACAGGAACAGACTGAGCTACTAGATTAAGAATTTAGTAATTATATTTGTTCAATAGCAAGATTGACAAACCTTGTTTAGAAGCAATCCTACATCTGAAGACAACAGATTGGCCTTCTTGTTTGGTCTGATCAGTGAGAGGTTGAACTACGGAAGGTGCAGCACCCTGACCCGCACCACTTGGCGCAGGTCCTTTTTTCCTGTCTTCTTCAACGATGAGCTGACCTTCACAACGAGCTTCCCCAGCTGAATTGATTGCCACACATTCATAATTACCAGAATCTTCAAGAGCAGTTTCAATGATGAGTAATGTGTACACATTGTCTTCTTCTAAGGTCTTATACCTAATGTCAGCAGTTATCTTTCTTCCATCCTTTAAATAACGATATTAAATAAATAAACCTTTCATTTGTTAAACAACAGACCATTGAAATATAAATAAGAAAATCAAAATCGAATTGTTTGGTAAGAATAGATATTACACCCACCTTTAACCAATATACATCCAAAGGCTTAGTTCCATGGATTTTAGTATCAAACCTACAAAGTTGTCCTGCCTTAACAATTTGTGCCTGTAAAGATGAAATTGTTGTTTTAATAAGAAGTTTTGAAACAATTATTCAGACTAATGCAATTCAGTAAATTAAAAAAACAAAATCTTACCTGGACAGTAGTAAGGAATGATGGTGGGATGGCACCTGTACGACCAGCTCGCCTTTTCTCTTCGACAACAAGGTTAGCAGAACATTTTGCTCTTCCACCACGGTTTTCAGCTATTACAGAAAATACACCAGAATCTTCAAGGTAAACTTGCCGCAGTATGAGAACTGATTTAGTTGAAAAAGTATGAATTTGTAAATCGGATGAACTAGTGATGGGGAAGTCCTCTCTATACCACTTGATAGTGGGCAGTGGATCTCCATCAAATTCTACTTCGAATCTAGCTTGTTCTTGTTCGAAAGCTCTTACTGGTTGGATCTTCCGAGTAAACACAGGTGGCTTTGCTGGTTTCTGCAAATGAACAGGTAAATACTCAATAATAATGATAAAATATGGGAGTTAAAATTAGAAAAAAATTACATCACAATCAACTTACCACTTGTCCTTGAACCACCCTTTCTTGAGTTGTAGCCTTGTGTTCTACTTCAGTTGTTTCAGTTGTTGAGATTTTTCTAGTTATTTCCTGGTCTCCTTTCACCTAAATGAGATAAGACAAGTTTTAAATTGATTAAAATAAAGTTAAAAGATAACAGCCTGAAAATAGCAGACTTTACTAACCTCTTTCTGAGTTTGTTTTTGTACAGCAGTGTGAACTTCTTTACCATGAACAGTAGATTCAAGAGGTCCAGGTAAAGGTCGTTTTTCTATAACCTTTTCAACTGTAGTATCTTGCTGTACAGTGTCATCTTCTTCATAGAGTTTTCCAGTTTTTTTCAAGTTCCTTCCTTTCTGCCATGGCATTAACTCAGGTTCTTCCTTTACCCTATTTAAGAAAAAAAAATTTAATATTAATATAATTTTAACCTTATCTTTAATTAATGTATTGGATTTCTTACCATCTGTGATACAATGGTATGTTTAGTGCCCGAAAACAAAATGATTCTAACCATATAGCAAATGATAAAAATAAATAATTTTTGCAAAATAGTATTAAGGTCCTAGAAGCTGGTCCTGTTTGTAGATATCTGATTCTTACTTAATGAAATTTTCAAGAGTCAGGACTCCAACAAATGCATCATTAAATCTCTAACACCAGACACTAAATTTTCTTAATTGTCTATTTAAAACTTAATGTTAAAAGATTTTAAGAGATATTAAGCATATAATAAAAATATGCCACTTTTCCAGGTAAAATTCTTTACAAAGCAGTGTTCTAAATGAAAATATCATTAATAAAAAACAAAAACAAATGTTCTGCTAAATGTTTGATATCTTAGACCAATAATCTTTGACCAATAATGATGAAAATGTTGAAAACCGAATACTAATTGGTTATGGTGAAATCATGGAAACCATAAAAAATTATGATAACTGTATAAAATATAAAAAACTAAATAAAACTTACAAGCTGTCCTCATAACTTTGAGCCATTCCTCGGGCAACAGATTTTTTTGTGATTTTTTCCCCAGGAATAGCAAATTGGTGAGAAGCTTCTCTGATTCTATTTTCTTTCACAATTTGTCCCTCTTCCAACTGTTGAATAAACAATGGAATTTTAAATTTAATTGAATACATTATAGTTAAAATATACACGAATTTCGATCTAAAACTAATTAATTACATCTATAATTGACAGTAAAACATAAGACATAACAATAAGAATATTTCAAATGTTGGGAAGAAACAACCAAGAAGTCCAAAGAAATTATCAATCATGGACTTATTATAAAATCCAACAAAATAAAATTTAGTATGCTTGAAAATTAGTAAACAATAAAAAAAAGGGAGCTAATATCCATGTTAATGAAACCTTAAAATCCACAGAACTGATAGTTTTTTCAAGGAAGCCAGCAACAAGGATAAAAAATGGATAGTTGAAATTTATTAAGTGAATAATGATGTCAAATCATATTTATACCTCTTCTAAAAAAAAACAAATATCAGAATAATAAATAAGTATATTTAACTCTTTGAGATATGATAGTTTTGCATTAAAATCATAACCCAATTCATAGAGCATAAAGAAAAAAATGTAGAACTATTGTCAAAATAAAAGTATAAATTTACATACCTCACGTATTTTAGAATAATATTCTTCACTCTTTTTATTTTTGACTCCTTGGGTCCATTCTGGTTCTGGTTCTTTTATGGTCTGCCCAGTTCTATGGCGGAGTAGCTCAGGAGTCACTTCCGGGTGAGTTGCTGCTCTCTCTTCAAACACCTTTTCCAATTCAGTCTCCTGCCTTTCGGCCTGATACTGAGCGAGCTCCACATCATACCAAGCTGATTCATAATGTATGTGTAAATTATAACTCATCAAAAACTATAAAATCTGTTAAATTATCAACCTATCTTATTTGCATTCAATCCAATTCCAGAAAGATTTATTCTAGTAGAATTTTTTATAAAATTTTAACTGACCAATTTAAGCATTTAAAAAAAAATAAAATAAAAAAATAATATATTTCAGAAATATAATGTTCCAGATGTTTATTCTTACTATTCCAATCATTTACATTTAGCAAACAACCCTCTAATGAAATTGTTCAAGAAGCATAATAAAATATAGTTATTATTTAATTACACTGAAATAAAATGAAAGGCTACTGATAGAACTACCATAAGACCTTGAACTACTTCAATAGAGTCAACCTGGACAATGGGCAAACTCTAAACAATATCTACACATTGACAGGCCATGCTCTTTTATGTTCTTTCCTTCAGTCAGGCACATATATACAACAAATACATAACCACTAAACACAATAGTAAAGATAAACAAACAACATTAATTTATATAAAAATTAAAATCAACATTTCTCATAACAATTTAGGATTTAAAAATGAATTAAGTAAATAGGACCATATGAAATTCAATTTCGAATAATGTTTCATTTAGTCAAATTTTTTATTATAATTCCTATTCATTACTTCAAGAGACTGATTCACATTATCCGAATGAACTTATTTTCATGCTTTATCCTAAAGTTTTCTTACAATCAGGCAAGAGATGATGATAGTAAATATATTGATATATTGCATCAAAAATAACAATGTATGCTATACATTATATTACAAAATAAACTACATCTTTTGCCTTATTAAACAATAAGATAAATAGATCAATTCTAAATGAATGACAAATTAGTTTATTAGGGCAGGCAATGAATTTCCATGCAATTATGCTCAATAAGTTTTCAAGCTAATGATTATTATAGGTTAAATGATGATGAAGAAGAAAATCAGAACTAAATAATTTTTATAATAATTATCAGACCAGTTTCAAATATATTTCAGAGAAAAAAACATACATGTAACAACATGTTAGTATATACGCAAGTGTCTGTACTAGTTTTCATACCCGACGAAGAAAGTTTAAAATACAAGCTTCAATTAATTAATTTAATTTATAAGGTTATTTTTTATTTTAAAGATTTAATCATTTAATCAACTTTTAAAAAAATTATTACTATTAATTATTATTATCTTCATATTTAATTAAGTTGTACAGTTATCGGTCGGAACAATGTTTCCCATGGTTTTTATTAAACGATATGGAATAAATAAATACTATGTTTTGTTTATTTTTCACACTTTCATTAAACTATAAATATTGAGAAACGACTGTAATAACTAATTAAGTAATTCCAATAAAAATAAAAACATTATACTTTTACTTAGGAGATTAAATCGATTTAAATTACCATAAAAATTAATTTTTTAACTTCATATGTTAAAAAAATAAATTAATTCAAGTTTTTAAGTTCTTTATTGCGATTGATACTTTGTTATTATTTTCTTATGTTGTCAGAATTGACAGTTAATGTATAGCAAACATATTGAATGATTAAATTTAATTTAATTGAATATAAAATTTAATAAAACCAACCAACTCTGTGTGTAACAGTTAAGTTGTCAAATTAAAATACAGTTCTGTAATCATGTTTTATGGAAAATGACATGTCAAACAACACATTATTAAAATAAATTTAGAATCTGATTTTCTTTGGTAAAGCTGTAGTTAAGATGCAGATATATTTCCATTATGGCGTGCTGAATATTCTATCGAATCTCTGTACACTTTACATGCACTTCCTGAAATTCCTTTAGCAAAACATCAATGCAAGATCTGAATAAATATATATAAAGGATTTTGTGAAAACAGTGGGAACTGGTATAACTGAAATAAAAAACAAAAAGGGATCGTGCAGTTTTGCTTAACAAAACGACACGTATATAAACACAGAGATGCTATTTTTACCTGAAACCAGTAATACAGATGAGACAAGCTGTTTTTGACTCCTGTCAAAATATTTTTTTCTTGCAGGGCCGAACCTCAGCACACCATTGATAAGCGTTGACGGGTAAAAGGGAAAAGGTGGAGGGTATGATGTTCTATTTTTTCTATATGTTAATGTTTAATTTTTGTTTAATGTTTTGTGTTATTATGTTACATTATAAACCAAAATTAACTTTCAATAGTTTCTTCACTCTTTTACAATTAAATGATTTAATTTGAAATAGAAAGTTATAAATTGTATACATCAATCATTCTTTTTCAATTCTATCCATCCCAAAATTAGATTCAACCTAAAAATATATTCCAGATTTTCAATTTTCTTAGTATGATATAGAATATTATAATGAGAACCCTAAATACATAATATAATTAGAGATCTCAAAAATATCTGAGCACTGAGTTTCAAGTAAATTGGTTAATTAAAATTTTCCATTGTTGTATTGGACATGTCCATCAGTGAAAATTTTAATTCTAAAAATATAATACCAAATAAATGAAAAAATAAAATGTAAATGGTATGAATACTAAGAGAATAAATAATTGCCATATTAACTATTTATCTTATCTTTAACCATATTTTGATGGCATAATATAATTTTCAAAAAATCTAGATTTTTTATAAAACTAAACTGATTAGGATTTTCTTTGAAATATGATATATATTTTTTGGTTGAAATAAATTTTGGATATTCACAGAGGAGGTTAGTTAGAAATAAAAAATAATATTTCTTCTATCATTGCAATATATGTTATTTTAAATAAGCTACCAATACCATCTTTTCAACCATTCTAATTTTAAAATATTATAAGAAAGCAACTCATTAATTCAAGAATCATGATGGCTATTACACTTCTTTAATTTGATCTTTTGATCAAACTATTAAATTTATAGGCACCATTACATTTTGTTATAATCAGTACTTCATTAAAAGCTAAAATACAACAAAATTGAGATTCTTGGTTGAAGTTAAATTCTTAAGAAATATGTTTGTACACAAGTGAAGAAACTATTAAAAGAAAGTGATAAGTAGTATATGAGGAGTAATTAGTTGTAAGAACCAAAATGTATTAATGAGAAGAGTATTAGAAAAATTGTGTTATTGTTTTTAAAATAGCATTTATTTGTAATATTTAATAAATATAATGAACTTAAAGATAAATAACAATGATGATATCCATGTCTACAATTATTATAGTACCCATTAATTGAACTTAATTTTACGTTTCCAAATATTATTTTATTTTATGCTATCTAATTTGAATAAATCAATTGGATTAGTTACTCAAAAATAAATAATAACAATTAAGGGTAGTATAATATACAAAAACACTGGATAGTCGAAATATATTCAATACAGTCTGTAAACTCACGCCTTGGAGAGTTCTTAAGGACACCTCTGTAGTCATCGCCCCTAGGTTTTACAGTCAGAGTGGTTTCAACCCTAGTTTCTCCAGCAGCATTTCTTGCGACAACTTCAATTTTACCTTGATCATATTGCCTTGTTTTAGGGATATCAAGATGCCACATTCCATCATATGTGAGTCTGTATCGAGTACCCTATTTACAAAAACATAAAAAATATAAACAATACTCATATCATATTCCAATATTTATTAATTGTTCAAAGGATTAGAATTGAAATTATAAGAAAATATCAAAGATTGATGCAGCTTTGTGTTAAATTTTAAAGTTTTTAGTAATATTTACTTATTGTATAGAAAATGAAAGAACAATACAAGAATTTATGAAACGTTATAGAAGGTACAAGTATAATTTTTATAGAATGAATCTATTAAATGTTTCGAATTTAATCATACCAAAATACAATACTTACATTTATGACAGTATTATTGTTAATAAGCCACATCACACGAGGGCGTGGGTATCCAGTTACCCTGCAACAGAATCTTGCACATTCTCCCTCATTAACAATGGTAGCTTCTGGTTTTGAAACAAATACTGGTTTTTCCTTTTCTTTGGTTTCTTCTTCTTTTTCTTCAGCAACTCTGCAAAAAGTAGAATAAAAAATTATGTGCTAAATCCTGCTCTATTAAAAAAAAAAAAAAAAAAAAAAAAAAAAAATAGCACTTACACTTGCCAGGAGGCCTCCATTTCTCTGATTTTCTCAATACTTTTCATTCCTTTAGGAAGTTGTGATTCATAAATAATTCCAGGCTTTCCAGTTGTTTTGATGATAGCTCTTGTTTCATCCTGGCCATAAAGATTAGTAGCTCTACAAAGGTATTCACCAGAATCTTCAGGGTAAATCCAACCGAAATTCATTGCCACATATCCAAAATCATAAATTGGAGTAAATCTGTTTTCTAGAAAAACAAATAGAATATCATGTTCACTGAAGCAAGAACTCATAAAATTCATAGTATAATTTCACCAGTAAAAAAATATGAGTACAATCACAAAGAAATACTTCAAAATAAAAGTTTTGTAAAAATGTTGACACATAAAAAAAAAAAAAAAGTTTTGTAAAAATGTTGACACATAAAAAAAAAAAAAAAACGGTTTCTTTAATTAACATAAAAATTGTGGAGTAATTTATTATTCATCAATTAACATTTTCATTTACTTTGAGTTTATTATTGATATTAATAGTCTCATATCAAAGGCAAAATTCATTCAATTTCTTGAGCAAACTAATAGAGTAAAACAATGAAATATGTGCTATATCATAAAGTACATACTGTGATGTAATGGTTTTCCATTGAAAAACCATTCAACTTTCATATTTGGATCACCCACAGGGGCAAGTTGGCATTCAAATTTTGTTGCTTCCATTTCAACCAACTCAGTTTGGTCTTGAATCTGAGTCACAAACCTAAACAAAAAATAAAAATGAATCATTCTTAATACACCCGAGATCTAACTAGATGAATAATTATGAAAGAACATTTCACTTGAAGATGGAAATTACCTTGGAGGCTGTTTTCTTTCAGGTTCATAAAGATCCTCCTCTGTCAAATGAACTTCAGAAGTATATTTTTTAATGGTAGCTTCCATCTGCATTAGTTGTTCTGATTTTTTCATTCCCTTTGGTACTTGATTTTGTAAGATAATACTTGGTACCTCTGTAATTTATAAAGATCTTTGTTTACACAATACAATATAGATTATTTGAAGACTTGGTATGATGCAAAGTGATTTATTGATTAAACTTTAAAGAAGTTAGATTCACCTTTAAAGCATTTTTTCCAAATAAATCAATCTTTCCTACCATAATCTATTTCTAAAGGCATTTTTTTGTCTTAAACCATGTAATTATCATAAACTTAAATTTATTAGAGACATAAGAAATAAAAAAAAAACTTTGAATACAAATTAAATAATAGACTTCTAATATTAAGATGAAAAAAAAACTCTTACTCTTGCAAGATACAGTGGCTCTGGTGAAATCCTCTCCATATGCATTAACAGCCCGACAGACATACTCTCCTGAGTCCTCTGGATAGACATATAGTATATCAAGCGACACAAATCCCATATCAAAGAGTGTTCTGTACCTATGCCCAGATGGCAATAATTTTCCATTCCTATACCATTCAATCCTCATTGTGGAGTCTGACTTGGGCTCTACACGACACTCAAAGCGGACGGGTTCATTTTCTCCAACTGTAGCTGAACTTATCTAATATTTGAATTAAGAAAATAAATTAGATTTGAGTGTCTCATAAAAATATAAATTAAGTAAATACCACTAGACTTCCAATTTACCTGAGTAATAAATTTAGGAGGTTCTTTTGGAGTTGGAGACTCAGGTCCTGGTTCAGTTACATGTCCTTTTTCAAGTTCTTTAAGTTTTTCTCCAGTCATTCCATGTGGCAATTGTGATTCCAAAATTACATCATGCTTAGCTATAGACAAAACTTATAGTAAGACATCAGAGAATCATTACTTAATCTTTTTTTTTTACTTTATGTAATTTGTAATACCATAACTTAAATATTTACAGAAACTTGAGACTAAACACATTAAATAAAGATAGCATATATTAAATGTATATATAAAATGATACAATAAAAAATTAATATATAAATTAACTAAAATACGTTCCAGACCTTTGCAGATAAGAGCTGCTCTAGTAGTAGCAGTTCCCCATCGGTTTGTTGCCCTGCAAAGATATTCTCCAGAATCTCTAGCATAAATGTAATCCATATCTAGGACAATATAGCCAAAGTCATTTATCATATGGACCCTTGATCCAGTAGCAAATGGCCGTCCATTGAAGAACCAATCAATTCTCATAGTTGGGTCACCAACAGGTTCTACTCGGCATTCAAAATGAGCCTTTCCTCCTTCAATTACTTCAGCATCCTACAGAATAACAAAATTTTTTGTTTGTAGTGAAACCAATTTCTTAAATGATAAACTATACAAGTACTAAATACCTCAATTTCAACAATAAACTTCGGAGGATTTGGTCTTTCTTCTTGTTCTAACAGTTCTTCTTTCTTGTGAAGCTCCTCTTCAAGCTTCTGAATACTTTCTGTTCCAGAACTGAATGTGTTAGGGAGTTGAGGCTCCATGATTATACTTTGCCTACCTCTGACATCAAGTTTACAAGACACTATAGCTTCACCATGCTTGTTCGTTGCCTAAAAAAAAAGGAATATAAGTTTAAGGGGGAACATTAAGAAATGTTTAAGACGAACAAGTCTACCTTAAAACAGTTTTGACTTTTGTCTTAAAATCAAATATGAGAAATAATTTAAAACAATCTTAAATTTCATTTAAATTTAAGCTCAATCCTAAATTTTAAAATACCTTGACCTAATATTTTACTTAATAGAACATAAATTTTATTAATCAAGATATTTTAAGATTCAGACAATAAAATATAATCAACCTACCTTACAAGTGTACAAGCCAGAATCTCTTGTATCAATTTGAGCTATTTCAAGAATAACAAATCCAAAATCATTTATGGTTTTGAACCTAGAACCAGCAGTGAGAGGCTTGCCATTGTGGAACCATTCAACTCTTAGGGATGGGTCATTCAATGGAATAAGGCGACATTCAAAATGTGCGACTGAATACTCGACAAGAGTTTGATCGGAAGGGCTGGTAATGAACTCAGGTGGTTTTCCAACATCATCTTCTGGAATAGGTCCGGTAGTAGAGGAACCAAGCCCCTCTAATTCAGCAATCTTTTCTATTGTTCCTTCCATACCTTTTGGAAGTTGGGACTCTATGATGATTGAACGCTTGCCTACAAAAAGGGTTTTATATTTTAAATATTTTAAATTATTTTTTACAAGGCAGAAAATACGTTTGAAAAAAAAAAATACAATGAAAAATAATACCTTCAACTTTCATTGTCGAGGTAGTGACAGCCTGTCCCCATTGGTTGGTAGCACGGCATGAGTATTCACCAGAATCTTCTGGGTAAACTGGAGAAATTTCTAAGATGACAAATCCAAAATCATGGAATGTTCTGAACCGTGAACCAGTCCTTAATGGTTTGTTATTCCAAAACCATTCAACCTGAAAATTGCATAAACAAATAATTAAAACCAAAATTATCTATCAATATTACATTTCTTAATAAATTATTGTATTCAAATATTGTCAATTTGATGAATTTTATTAATGACACATTGACTGCCGACTTAAGAGATTACTATAATACCATGGCAGTGGTTTATGATGATTACTAACTAAGTATTAAAATTAGAGTTTTTAATAATATAATTAAGTTAAATTTGTTTTTTTAAATATAAATCTTGAAAATTACCTTGGCAGTCTTACAAAAGATTTATAATAAAATTATCTAAAGATATTAATTACGACAAAACAAACAAATCTTAAAGTTAAAGTAATCTTTATTTCCACCTTTAGCCTTGGATCATCTGTTGGTATCAACCTGGCCTCAAAGTGTGCACTTTCACCTTCACGGAGGCTGTCAATGTTAGATAAAGGAACAGTAAAGACAGGCACTTGCTTCTTATCTTCAGTAACTTGCTCTTTTTTAGTTCTAATCATAGCATCTTCCAAGTCCTGGATTTTCTCCAGACCACCTTCCATACCCTTTAAAAAATTGAGTGGATAGACAACAATTATAAAATTTTAATAACAAGAATCTTAATTATAATTGAATCATAACACAACAATGATTTATATTAAGCATTTCAAATTGCTACACGGAAAGGGACTTACTTCTGGAAGTTGGGATTCAAGGATGAGACTTGCTTTAGATGAACATCTGAGTATAGCCTTAGTCGAATCAGAACCAACAAGATTGGTTGCTCTTGCTTCGTATTCTCCTGAATTTTCAGCATAGCAGTATAGAATATCTAAAATTACTATTCCGAAATCGTGGAATGTTCTGTAACGATGACCATGAGGAAGCTTTTTTCCATTATAATACCATTCAACCTAAAAATCAAAATCACATTATTTATCAAAAATATTCACAAAAAGCTTTTCAAGTTTCTAAAATATAAATTATATTCACAGAATTGAAATAATTTATAACCTTACCTTAAGATTAGGATCATTGACAGGAACAAGGCGGGCCTCAAAATGAGCACTTTGTCCCTCTTTGAGAGTTGTGATGTCGGTGATTTGGGTAATGAACCTTGGAGGCTCGTTCACAGGAGTTGTTGGAATCTGGGCACCTGGAGCTGCTGCTGATTCGAGCTCTCTGATCTTAGCGAGCGATTCTGGTTGAAGAGATTCCAAGTAGACACCTCCCTTTCCAACACATGTGACATGTGCTCTTGTAAAATCTTCGCCATACCTATCATTTGGAAATATATTATTACTTGTCGAAGTATCAATAATTATGAGTGGTGAAATGTGTCTAATTAATGCTATAAATATAAATAAATCAACTAAAATAAATTCAATTATTTTTAATTTAGTAAAAAACTAGTTGAATAGGCTGCGCTAAGAAGGTTAAGATTTATTCCGAGAGACTGCCTTAAAACAAAAATCTACCTCCACAAGCTTGAATTGGCTAGGGCAGCTTAAGCATCGAGGTTATAACTGTTTTAAAATTATAAGTTTAGTTTTATTAAGATAGAGTGCAGACTATCCTGATCAATAGACAAAATAAAAACATTAAAAAAGGTATATGTTGTAGAGTTAATTTCAAGAAACCTTAGGAGCAGTTTTTATACTAACAAAAATTATTATAACTAATTATAACATAGATGTGGTATCCAAATACACTATCGGTTAATTGCAAAAACTCTCTAAATACAGTTTTGATGTTGCTAAATTTACAAGTACAATTTCATAAATCTATATCTTATTTATCTATACAAAAACACAGTGAGTGTATCAAAATGAAAAAAAAAAAAACCTTTTAAATGTCAAATGTAGTTACATTAAGTACATAATAATCAAACTTTACAAAGGGAAAATTCATCACTACTTAGTACTTTAATTTTACGAAATGTAACTTAATGATTTTTTGTAATAAACCAATGGTATATATTATTATAAGTTAAAACAACTATTAATACAATTTGTTAAGCTTTGTTATAATTGTCTTGCTTTGTATAATTTGTTATAAATGTCTTAAAATATAAACGAATACTAACTTGTTCTTTGCTCTACAAACGTATTCTCCAGTATCATGAGACTGAGTATAAGCAATATCCATCAGAACAAAACCAAAGTCGGAAACTTGTTTGATCCTTGTGGAGTGCCTAATAGGACGTCCATTGTGAAACCATTCAACCTTCATGTTTGGATCACCTACAGGGATTAATGTGCACTCAAAGTGTACGGAATCTCCATCTTTAAGTCCATCAATGCTCTGTAATAAAAACGCAATACATGAATGTAACAAAGTCATACGCATTCCATAAGACAACATTAGAATTTTATAAAAATGTAAAATTAAAACAAATAAATGACATGTTACTACTTTTGGAATTAAATATTTTATTTTATGACTAGAATACTAATCTTATATTAATTAAAGAAGTTGTAAATTACAAAATTCATTACAGAATTAAAAATATAATATAAGATATAATTGTTAGAATATGGTAGCAAGATTGAAAACACAAAGCCTTGAATCTATAAAATGCTATCTCAAACAAAATAATCAGTCAAGGCTTGGCCAATTCAGAGATCATCAGGACAGAAAACACTGGGATCCCATATAGGCAGGCCAAATAGGGTACATCTCACATATACAGTAAATAAAAAGGGGTACATGTTTAGAGCTTTGGAGAGCCTCTTGTTGATGCACCTTTTTTGTACTTTGATTGCTTTTTTTTATGTATTTTATTTTTAATTGTTTGATATTTCCTGTAAGTATTTTATAAATTAAAATAAAATAATATAAATAAGGAACAATAGATTACCTTAATATGTGTAGTAAATTGTGGTTTTTGCCCTTTAGTGACATCTATGCATTCTAAAGTGACTGATATTTCATCCTTGCCCCATTTGTTTGTGGCTCTGCAGGTATAAGTTCCCGAATCTTCAATTTTAGTGCCCAAGATCTCGAGGACAACCATACCAAATGCATGGACTGTTCTGATTCGATGGCCTGTGCATAAGTATTGAAATGTAATATATAAAGTAATAACAAATTAATTGTAATAACGTAATAAAATGTATTTATCATGGACTTACTGGCTTCTATTGCCTTTCCATTGTAAAACCATTCTACTACCATGCTTTGATCACCAACAGGAACCAATGAAGCTTCAAAATGAGCGATTTCACCTTCACTCAAATTCTTAATATCTTGGAACTATTAAAAAAAAAAAAAATAAATATTTAATATAAAAATATTTATTATCAAACAAAAAATATAACTTCAATAGAATAAATCAAAGAAGTAACATGAAAAACAGTTTAAAAATAACAAATAAATTAGTATCCTGATTATTCATACTGCAGAGAGTCCAGGATTAGATGAAAATTATTGAAATATTCATATTATCAAGATTACACAAGAAGGTGTAAAAAATACGAAATATGAAATTCAACTTTTATCAATATATGTAATTTATTGGCTATTAAGAATATGCTATTGCTCATAAGTATCAAATATGTCTTCCATCTCATCTTTCAATAATTATCATTGAAATTCAGCCTCCTTTTAAGCTTTTAAAATTTTTACATAAGACTTTCCAAAGTATGGGAGGAGATTTTTCTGTTACTATTCAGAATGAGTATTGTCATTGATGAAGGAATACTTCAACATTTGGATTTGATAATTTGTTTATCACCACAAAATATGGTGTTTTTTTGTTTGTTTTTTGTTTTCTAAATGGAAAAACATTTCTCAGAACTTCTAATAAGAATGGTCAAAACCGAACTATAATAAACACCACATTGGTCAAAAAGAAAGGGCTATTATAGAAAAATATATTAACAAACTGAAATTAATACTAACACTTATCTCTATTCCTCATTTAAATATATTATCAATTAACAAGATTACTTATTTGAAAATACAAAAAACAAAAATGTTGAAATGGATTTGATAACAGAAATAAATACATATAAATTACCAACATTTTTTTATTTTAATGAATAAAGGGAATTTTTCATGGGACCAATAAATTCAAATCTATAATCAAGATATACAAATTATTGGACATTAAACAAAAAATTACAGAAACTATTTTCAATTTTTCAATGGGATATCTTGAAAACTTTCTGAATCAGGATTCTTGCATCGTAAGTAATTAAATGGAAAAGTAATAGAATAATAAGATTATTTGGATGCAAAGGAAATTATAGAATTAAAATGTATTATTAATCAATGTATAAGTAAATTTCAGACTAAATACCATAACATGAATTATAACTAATATATATTATATTAATATAAAAGTTCAATAATCCCAACTGTCACCAAACTATAATAATCACCCTTGGTTAAAACCCACAACCATTTTTTTAAATAATTAAAATACCTGATTCAAAAACCTTGGTGGTTCAGCAATTAATGTCTGTAAAACAATATACATGGCATCTTTAATAAAAAGCTCAATGAAAATGTTTAAGATACCTAATGGAGGCAAGTTTTTATTAAATGATTTGAAGTTATAGATTTTTTTATTAATATGTATGTAATGATACTTCAAAATGACAAATGTACTTAATCTAATCAAATCACCTTTGAGGTAAATGAAGGTGGCTGTCCTTCATCTGGAGTAATTGCTTTCTCTTCTTCTCTTCTAAGTGATTCTTCTAATTCCTGGATCTTTCCAAGGCCTTCCTAAAATTAAAAACCCAAAATTGTGAATGCCATGGAAGAAAAATGCTTGATAACTCTCAATATTAAAAATAGTTTATTTACTTGTCCTTTGGGATGTTGTGTTTTTTCAATGAGACCAGTTTTACTAGTACAATAAATTGTTGTTGATGTGAACGCTTCACCGCTTCTATTCCAAGCTTTACAAGTATAAATTCCTTGATCTCTCTCATAGACTTCAGTTAAATCAAGAGTAACAAACCCAAATTCACTTGTCATTTTAAATCGTGAACCTGTTAAATCAAAAATATGAGTAAATAAATATAATCTGAAAAAATGACAATTACATATATAGAAGTCCATTTAACATCCATTCTTCAAACAACTAATAAGAACTCATAAAATTTAATAGAGGATAAACATTCACCACAATTTCAGGGATAGTAAGGATAAGTTACAAAGAAGTTATAACTTGACAATTACAACAATTTAATTCTTTACCATGTGCAAGGCTTTTTCCATTGAAGAACCATTCTATCCTTAGATGAGGGTCATCCTTGGGTTCAACTGTAGCCTCCAAGTGAAGAGGTTGGGCCTCACCCAGTTTAAACTCTGGCTGGAGTGGTTTGGTCCAAACAGGCTTAGGCCATTCTTTCTCTGGACCTAATCAACAATAAAACAAAAAACAATAAGCTAGGAACAAAATTAATATATTCATGTATTTAGAACTGGACCAACTGGATGTGCTCAGAATATTAATTTGTTCGTTCTTTTACACCTGTAAGATTATCAACATGACAATTTTATGTTTAGATAAATGTAGTTTTAATAAGTTTATTTGTTGTAGTAAGTTTGTAAAATATTCTTCAAGGTAGATGACTGTAATAATGATAATAAAGCTTATCGAAACCGGAGGGTTCGATGCCGATACCCCCAATCAATGTCTAGATTCTTCTATCCACCGGGCAAAGTCTAAACCCAGTAACACAAGATCAGCCTTAACACAATCTTCCTACCTCTGCTTCAGTCTACCCCTTGGGCGCTTGTATATGACCTTTTTAGAAATTCTTTCGTCACTAATCCTAGCGAGTTACGTGCCCTTTTTATTCGCCTCAACTTAATCATCTCAATTATACTAACCGGGTACAGTTTCTGCATTTCAGCATTGTGTAACTGCCTAAATTATCAGGTTGACTCATCCTTCTTCTGTTCGAATATTTTGTACAATACTTAATTTTCAAAAAACTTAAGACGTTGCTCTTCCTTTAATGTAAGCGGCCATGTTTCGCATCCATAAAGAACCGTAGGAAGGATAATGGTTTTGTAAATTCTGATTTTTAAGTTTCGGGACATAAGGTGCGAGCTAAGTAGTTTTGACAAAGAAAAATAACAATCGTTTCCTGCCTTTAACCTAACTTTAATCTCCTCTTCAATTTCATTTTTTCTCGTTATCATAGACCCTAGATACCTAAACTTCTCTTTGTGTAGATGACTGTAATTAAAAACTTAATTTGTTACACGTACGAATACATATATATTACGGTTATTACACCATCAATTGTCGATTTTAAAATTATTTTACTTTTTTACTCCTTTTAATTATTCACAAACCATCTGTCATGATTAGATAAGTGATAAAAGTAAAGATTTATTTTAATATTTCTATCTCTCTCCCTTGACGATTTTAAGTCTGGCAAAATAAAACAAAAGTTCTTATTTCAGATAATAACGTAAAAATAATTTATATTTTTGATTAATTGGATGATTAATCTTTTACAGGTATTGGAAAAAAAATCAATAAGCAGATATACATCTTTAATCTTAAAACCCTTTCTGTGAAGAAAGGTTTGTAATTCCTTTATTTCCTCTTAACAGAAAACTAAGTCTGCTAAGCTGAGGTCAAATTCAATTACCGCTGATCACTAGGGGATCCAGGATTTAATTTTGGAGTGACATTAACCCAAAAGCTTTTTTATATATATAACCATTATTACTTTGGAAGAAGAAGAAAGATCCTAACTACCTAAATGAAATGGTGTTAAAGTGATTCTTAAGTTTCTATTATATGTAATTACACAAACAATAATACTTTTAGAAATAATGCTGTCATAAGACATGGTTATATTTTACTATTTTTTGGAGGGAAGGGGAGGTGGCTTAGCTTCAGCCCGAAAGCCTCCCCCATAGATCAGCCTGTACCACTACTCTACAAAATCTACAAATCACTTCACTAACATAACTGGATATATATGTACATATATATGGAACAAAAAGAGCCAATTTGAAAATATGAATGAATTATATAAAATAAATAAGGACTGATTATACATTAATTGTGAAAAGGACCAATATCCTCCAATTATTAGTCACTATCAATAGCTAATAACTGAAGGACCTCAGAGCTTTTAGCAATTAATGAACATCCTACCATAATTTTTTTGTGTACTTCATTAAAATTTCATAGTTTCAGAAATTTTTTCATATTTTTATCCCAAGATATATTTAAAATATACTTTTTGTTATTTCCTCCCCACAAAATAATAGACTTTTACATTGTATCATTAGTCATCAGAGGGAAGTAATATACATTTTAAATAGTCGAAACCTGTTGTTGTTTTTCAGGGATTTAATATAAACAGTTGGAGTTATGTATATCAAACGTGAAGGTTTCTATAATATATATCTATAAATTTTGATATAGGGAAATATTGCAATTTTTCCACCCGGTCATACTAGAAGTAATTCATCATATTGTTTATTGGGATTAAAAATAGGACTTGATGGTCAAGCACGTTGGAGCATGGTTCTCAGAGTGCACAGTTTTGAATGTTGTGGTTTCGATTCCCACCTGGGAAGGTTATTATATATTTCTCAGGGGCTCCAGGAAATGAATCTTGGCATTCCCATTCCGTTAAGTATAAGGTAGCAACATAAAGCTAGCCATCGGTTGGCAAAAAGGATTACAAGGTCCACTTGCTGGACTAGTACTCCACACCAGTACCAGTAGGGTTAAAAAAGTACTCAAAGGCAATTTCTTATGTTACTGTCTATAGATATTGATTACGAATTTCATTTATATTCAAATTTAAGGATTTAAATTATTTCCATTCTTTGTCAAATCTGTTAAATATTCCAATAACCGAATCACGGTTTTTGTACTGGTTTATAAAGTACTTGTCATAACTTCATATTTGATTATTTTTCATCGAGCATCTTATGTCTTTTAAATAGAATTATTTTTTCATACTTTTTATTTAGTAGACAAGTTTATTACAAGGTATTGTTGCCATTTCTAGGCCAATCAATTATGCTAAATACTATTTAAATCTAATTCTCACACCTACAGTTTTCCCTCCTGCACTATCCAATTGCTTAGCACTGTTGATAGCAATTATATTTGATCCCTTTGAATCCAACAACTGACTCTATCATATAGGTCCCTCCTAAAATTACTGAAATCCTCATAAGAGATCAAGAGCATCTTTGCCTCAGTTGTCCCATCTAATTTTTTTCCTACAGTAGTTAGTTATAGCAATTACATTGCTCAGATCTCTCATTAGCTTACCCTATATGCGTTTTAGAGTCTGAGCAATATAGACAGTTAACTGTCTAGAATATTACATAACATTTTTTAACAATAGCATTATTATAAACTGTAAAACTCTTATTTTAAACAATTTTTAAAATAATCCAAATATTAAAGGTTTAAATTTTCTATTCTTGCATGGTTTTCCTTAATAAATAATATTGACTACTCAGTTGAAATTAAACTATCTTGTCTTAAAATTATAGAAGTAATACAAAAATTAAAGAAACATATGATTTATTTTTCAATTTCTCTATTTCAACTAACCAGAAACTTGGCGTTGGTATTTGGATGCAAATGATTCATCGACTTCTTTCACTTTCTCCAGACCAGCTTGCCCAGTTGGATGTTGAGTTTGAAGATAGATATCAGTTCCACTAGTACACTTGAGTGTACCCGAAGTAGAGGCTTGGCCTTTGCTGTTAGTTGCCTTAACAGTGTAAACTCCAGAATCTTCAGCATAGCATGAATTGATATCAAGGGTGACAAAACCAAAATCATGATTTCCCTTGAATCTAGAACCAGTTGGGAGTGGTTTCCCATTTGCGAAGAATTCTAAAAAAATTCAAGAAACAATCAATTCCAGCCCGAAGAAACTATTTTCTTTTTTTCTTTCAATGTTTTCATTCTTCCTCACCTATTTGAAGGGTTGGATCCTTAGCAGGTTCAACACGACACTCAAAGTGAGAATTTTCTCCTTCAGTACAAACCACATTGTTAAGATGTGATATGAAAACAGGTCCTTCAAATACAGGCTCTGGTGCCTCAGGTCTACCTTCTTTAGGGCCTTCAAGAGCATCTATTAGTGGTAAAGCTTCAGGTCTCAGTGAATTTGCAAGGAGCCAATGGCGATCTATAACAACATTCAATTGATAAGAGAAACATAATTTTTAAAAATTTACTCCTGTAAAAAACATACTTTAATAACAATTAAAAGAACATAAAAAAATTGGTGAAACAGTTAAAAATAATCATGGGGATTTAAAAAATTAAAATTAAAATCAATACATGAAACATAAATAGTTGTTGGAAAACTATCATAATTTTAAATCAATACTGGATCGAAAACAATTCAAGGTACTAAACAAATTTTCAGAGAAGACTTATCTCAACACAGTTATAGTTTGTCTAACAACATGAAACAAAACCAAAACAAGAATGTCAACCTTCATGTAATTACATAACAATACATTTTTAAATAAAAGTAAATTAAGGGACAAATTTTAAGTAATAAGTATTTAACATAATATTTTAATACTTATTATGAGACTAAAATAAGAAGAATAATTGAAGAAAAGTGTCGTACCTTCAATTTTGATCGTACAAGTTGACACTGCTTCTCCAAGCATATTAATGGCCTTGCATGTATATATACCAGAATCATCAGGTCTCACTCCGTTCACAGAAAGTGTTACAAGACCAAAATCAAATGTAGTCCTAATTCTAGTACCTGTGTAAAAATAAATATTGTGCTGATTTATAATTGCGTATAAATAAAACACATTTTAATTATAATAAAATCGAAATTTTCATCCTTTTAAAATAACTGATAGCTCCAACATAAACTGATGTTGGATCGGAGGAGCATTAAACTTAATTTGCATGTAGTTATTTATAAACAAATCATGAATTAGGTTTAAAAGCATGGACAGTTTACAAAGTACAACTAATCATTAGTCATATTTCAAACTTCTAAGCAAGATTTCCGATATTTCCGAAGGCTCGACGACTAAAATGATAAAAAGCAATGTCAGCACCTTTATATTCAAAGAAATCGTTCAAAACATAAACTAGCAACAAATATTAACAGTTATAGGTTTCACAATTGTAGAATGTAAAATCATCTTTTCACTTCCTTTTTTTTTTAACTTCCCTTGAAGTCAAGAGTGTGAATCTAATCCGGCAGTGGTTAGATATAGGGCATAAATAAATCAGTTTCTGTAATAGATAAGAGTATCACTCAACCTTCAAAAAGTGTGTACACAGCAATATGAGGATAGATGATATTTTTGGAATCTATCTTAGCCCTAACAAATGAAATCTTTGAAAAAATCTTTATAGATGTTTGTATTACTTTTCCTTGTAGATACTTGCATGTTTATTAAATATATTAGAAATCACCACCCTTGAAATATTTACTCATTTATGATTCCACAATTGTTATTCCTTCTCTAAAAAACAAAAAACAAAAAAAAAAACAACGTATGAATTAAGTATTATTATTATTGTCTTTCTTGCCTTCAGAAAAATTGTTTGCCCTCCTTTCCTTATCAAAAAATTACTCAGGCCACTCAGCAACTTACTGTACTAAAGATAAAGTAAATTACTAAGCCCTAAATATAGCCTACAAAATTTGGCCAAACCTTTTGTATTTTTTTAATGAAGTAAAATTTATAATTTTTTTACTATAAATTGAATTTGATTGATCATTGGCTAAATACTAACTTGATATTAGATGGAAAATTTATAAGAGAAAAAACTAACCAGTTGTAAGAGATTTTCCGTTTTTGTACCATTCTATCCTGAGGTTAGGATCATTTCTAGGCTCCACTTGAGCCTCTATGTATACATGGGATCCTTCAGTAAGGTTCTCCTGGTTGGTAAGATGTCTGGTAAATATGGGTGGCATATTAGCGATTGGTTCCTCAGGTCTTTCTGGTTTTGCACCAAGAGCAGCTTCCTTGTCTTTGATCTTCTGCCATGCCTCTGGTTGAATAGGTTCACCAGAAATAGCTGATCTTGCTGTAAAATATATCAGATAGTTAAAGTCATCTAAAGAACTATTCCAAAGGAATAAATCTACACATAAAAGAATACCAACGTTTCACTTTCAAAGTTGTTGATGAAACAGCTTCTCCAGCAGCATTAATAGCTTTGCACATATATAAACCTGAATCTTCTGGTACTGTAGACATGATGTCAAGGGTTACAAAACCAAAATCATGTGTTACATGGAATCTTGAACCTAGAAAAATTTTAAAATTTAAAATTTCTACTAAATAGAAAATGGGTAGAGGTAGGAATTATTTCTTTTAGATTAATCATTTTTTTTTCTATATTTACTGAGGACATAAAAGAATAGAAATTTGTAGAATGTAATTTTCAACAAAAACACTGCCAGTATCATCATGGCTCACAATGAATAAATTATTGATTTTCATTAAAAGTACAAAGAGGGGAAAACTTAATTAAATATTAACGATTCAATATTTTTAACATTTCTAGCCTTTGGAGGTGGATCAATTTTCTAAGAAGGGAAACTCTAAAGTGCATTCCTAACCATAGGTTTGTTTATAAAGGTAGAGTATATTTTAATGATTTATTGACAGAAATATATTGTTTAACATGGCTTTATTTAAGAAAAAATATTTAATTAAATATTTAAAAGAAAAAACTTACCCATTTTGAGCTCTGTGCCATTGACATACCAATGGTATCTCATCGTTGGATCACCAATTGGTACAACCCTGGCTTCAAAGTGAGCGGTCTGTCCTTCCCAGAGTTCTGAAGGGCCAGTTAAAACTTGGGTGAAGATGGGTTTTTCAAATGTTGGTTCAACATCCTCAGGCTTTAATGGGCCACGTCCTTCTTCAAGTTGTCTGATTTTTCTCATGCCTTCAGGGTGCTGAGTGTCGATTTGTATGGATGCTTTGGCTATATGAGAAAAAAGATTATTATGGATGTATTTGCATAAAGAAAATTAAGCAAATGCAATACCAGAAGTATATCAAATATATAGGCAAAAAGGTTATTGTATATCTCTTAAAATACTGGCTAAATAATTCTTCAATAATAATATAGAAAACTCATAAAATTAATTATAAAAAGTCTCACATTTAATCTTCATGGAAGCTGTGGTAACAGCTTCACCAAGAGCATTTGATGCCCTGCACATGTAGACACCTTCATCTTCTTCACGAACATGTGTCATATCCATAGATACATATCCAAAATCGTGTGTTTTTGTGATTCGTGAACCTATATGAATAAACCATAATTTTTATAGCATACTTAATGGTATTAAACAGAATACTACAGACTTAGTAGTTTCCTTCGATAATTAGAAGTATCTTCATATTTAAAAACACTTGAATAAAACATATTATAGTCATGTAAATTGTAATTGTAAAAAAGTGATTATTTTATTTTCTTAGAAGAAAAATATGTTTGGGAAATAATTAGGATATCATGTTCATTTTACAACATGATATGAAATTATATCATAAAAAAATATATATAAATAAACAATATTATTTGACAAATCCAAAAACTGAAACAAAATAATGTTCATAATCATAAAATTTTAAAAAAAGACTACTTACTGTCCTCAAGTATCTTCTCATTTCTAAACCATTCGACCTTCAGCGTCGGATCCCCGACGGGGATGAGGCGACATTCAAAGTGCGCCGTCTGCCCCTCTGCTATAGTATCAATATTCTGCAATGGCTGAGTGAACACAGGACGCTGTCTAGTGACTGGTTCAACCGCTTCAGGTCTCTTCGGAGCCTCCCTTTCCAATTCTCGTATCTTCTCAAGTCCTTCAGGCCGTTGTGAATCAAGTATTATGCTGCCTCGCTCTGAAAGTAACGAAAAAAATCAGTCATAAATATAAAAGTGATTTGCTTTAATGGATTTACAAATTTAGAATGTTCTGAAAAATAAGAATATCACCATAGTTTTATACTGAGTAAATTATGAATCAGTAATTAATAATGTTTATACTAAATCATTCATAATGTTTTATTAATTAATGTGAATTGATTTTTTTATTATTAAACTTTAACAAAAAACATTATATAAAATTAGCATTTTGAAGCTTAATAAAAATTAATTAAATTATACTAACCAACAACTTTTAGGGTTGTTGATGAAACAGCTGATCCAAGTTTATTGATTGCTTTGACAGTGTATTCACCAGCATCTGAGGCAAGGCAATGTCCAACATCAAGGGCAAAATAGCCAAAATCAAAAGTGATGTGGAACCTCGAAGCAGAACCAAGTGGCTTGCCATTGTGGTAAACTTCAACACGGAGATTGGGATCATGTAATGGTTCAATTTGAGCTTCAAAATGTGCAGTACCTCCTTCTGCGATTTCTGTGGTACCCTGAAAAGTTTCATTAACATAATAATAAATCTGTAATAAAAAAACAAAACAAATAATAATAAAAAAGATTAATTTAATAGAATATTATGAAGTATCACTCATTAGAATTAAAATTATTCTAAGATACTTGTTTCAAAGTTAATTTTTTTCTTTCTTAATTCACATTATTAACAGAAAGGTATATATAAAAATACTTACTCTTAATTGTGTAATAAATCTGGGTGGATTTGGTAATGGTTCCTCTAATTCAAGTCTTGTTGGATGACCTTGAGCTTCCAGCTCACGAATCTTTTCCAACCCTTCAGGGTGCTGAGTTTCTAATAGAATATTATGCCGAGCTGTAAATTATAACAAACAAAAAATAATGAAAATTATATTAAATTATTTCAGTTCATATTTAAAAATGGAATACTTAATTATTTAATATTTACATTGAACTCGAATTGTTGAAGTATTGACAGCTTCTCCCATGAGATTAGTGGCTTTGCACATGTAAGTTCCAGAATCTTCTGCATAAACATACAGAATATCCAGAGCAACGTAACCAAAATCATGAGTTGTTCTAAAACGATGTCCAGTCTTAATTGCTTTGCCATTGACGAACCATTCAATTCGCAAGTTGGCATCAGAAATCGGTTCAACACGGCATTCCAGGTGAGCATGGTCTCCTTCTTTAAGATTTTCAAGGCTATAAACAAACAAATTGTAGTAAGTAAGCTACAGTAATAAACATAAACACCAGTAATCATTTTAGTTTTGAGTAATTCTGAACGAAGATGAGTTATTACCTGTTGAGTGGAGTAATAAAAACAGGCTTCTGAGGGATAGGTTCGACTTCCTCTTGTCTTGGTCTTTCATAGTGTTCAAGTTCTTTAATTTTCCTTAGCCTCTGTTCATCGAGGGTATCAAGCTGAAGACCTTCCTTAGCTGTGGAATAATATTTTGTAATGAGAAGAGATACTTAATTTTTTGTTCTTAATATAATGATGTCTATAACCATGAACATTTTTTATACAATATTTGAAACAAAATAAAAATCTTTATTCTAGTATATGAGATACATCAATATAAAATATAAAGATAAGAAGTAGCCAACTACCTATATTATTAATGTAAATATATGATTAATAACTAAAATTTTAGACTTCTGCTATCCTTGCTAGAGATGATAATGTGATCAGAGATTATTGACATATAAAATCATGAAATAATCTAAGACCTTGGCTATGCTTGAGGGAGAGAAAGCAAAAGTTTAAAAATCAGCAAATGAAATGTCTTGGTATAAGAAATGGTATTTAAATTTGGAATCAGTTTCCATTGACAAAGTAACTAAAAAGTATTTTCTCTATCTAACTATAACACAAGTAAACCAGTATTCTTGGGCTAGAGGGTGGAAAAGTTGAAAGTTAGGCTCAATTTTAGGGCAAAAGTACATTGCAGTGATTATTGGACAAAAATTATGCTATTATGGCAGAAAAAATAAAGAAAATATAAATTATTTACCCATAACTTTAATTTCTGTAAAAACACTAGCCTAATTATAGGGTTTTTCATTTCACAAATTTTAATCAGTTGTAATTAAAATTATGTGCACATATAGGGTGTAGGGTAGAATAAATAGTCTTTATTGCACATTCAAAACTTTCAGATAATGTTCGTTGGTTAATTTTGCATACAACAGATTTTTTCGTACATTAAAAACTATATTTGTAAAGATTTATTGATGTTTTAGCTTGATAACAAAGAAAAGAAAATCAAGGGATGTAAAAATAAACTGGAGAAAATATTTGCACACAAGCACAAATATTGATTCAAGTTAATTAATTAACAAGTTAATTTTTAACTCCTCAACTATAACTGTTTTTAAAGTAACAGCCAAAATTATTGTTTATTTGAAAACACTTCAGCATTCGAGAGAGAGAGAGAGAGAGAGAGAGAAACAGTAAGCTGAGATGTTATCTAGTTCCATTTTAACTGGATTGGACCAACAGAAACACTGAATTTGAAACAAAATAAATCTGTTCTCTAAAATAGATTACTACCCTGGAGGGAATTAAGGCACAAAAGAAAACAGTAAAGATCAAATAAAAAACATTTAAAAACTATTAATGCCAATTATTTTAAACGATAATGCAAATGGAATATGATATAATACTAATGGAATGCTTGCTAATATCATAAATGTAGTACTGAACGAATATGAAAAAAGATGTTTTATTCTGTTTGACATCTCTAAAAAGTATCGTCAACATACAACAGCTAGAATAAGCACCTGTTATGCATGTGTTAATTCATATAAAGTTATTAACCAAAAATACTGACTGCAAATTTAATATACAATTCAATAAATTTTTGTTGTATTGTACAGATATCAGTAAATGTTGTAATATGTAATATACAGGGTATTTCAGGATTAAGTAGCCAAACTGAAAATATGAATTAAAGACCTCACAACAAGAAAAAAATTTAATATTAAATATTGTTCAAAGTGGTTTCCTTGAGCATTAAGACAGGTTTGGCATCTTTCTTCAACAGCAGCAGTGTCAGAATGGCACTGGATATGTGTTATTGCTTTACAAGATTCAATTACACTTCTTCATAAGGAATTCAGGTTATCAACCGGACTTCACCCCAACCAAAAAAATCCAGTGGGATCAGGACTGGAGAGCATGCAGACCAAGTCACTGGTCCTGAACGGCCAATCCATTGATTGGAATAATTAACATTTAGCCATTGTCATGGACCTCTTCCGTAATGTGCAGGACAATCATCTAATTTAACCTACATGCCCCTTCTCAGTTGTAGTGGAATATGTTCAACTAAATGATAGTAATCGTTATAAAGAAATTCCAGAAATGTCGAAAAAAATGAGTCAAGGCGGCAAGAAATGCGGACCTATTAAAATATTGTCTAATATCCCCAACCACGCATCGCACTGAAACTGGTGCTGAAAATGATGCTCACATATTGCATGATGCTCCTGTATTGCATGTGCTCACAAACTTTTTTCTTGTTTTGAGGTTTTTAGTTCATTTTTGCAGTTTGGCCACTTAATTCTGAAACACCCTGTATATAACTATAACAAGGCCCAAGATCCCAATAAGAATTTATGATAAAAGCAGAAGTTGGCAGCTGTAGCTTATTAGATTCCCATATGGACAAGGGCAGGAATATAGAGATATCAACTGCCAAGAAATAAACGTTAAGCCTTCCAAGTGGCATAAAATCCACTCAAATCAGAAGCAAAAGCCACTGATCTCTGTCCTAACACGCGTAGCTACTTCTGCACCTGTCTGCTAGTGAAGGTCATGACTATTTAAGTTTAAAGGTTTGGTTCGAGTTTGTTTTATAACTTAATCATAATGATTAGAGTTAGGTAATCAAGACAACAATGACTAAATTAATAATAACCTTGGCTGCATTATTTATTTCAAGATAATTAGGTTTATATTTTAAAATTGATAGCTCACTCCACAAAAAACTTATTTATCACAATATGCCATATTTTTCATTCAATGAATTACATTTAGTTCAAGCAATAATGGAGCAATGAGACTTCCGATTTGCATTATACTTTAAACCAAACATATTTAAAAAAATCGTAGAGAAAACAACATATCTCTACAATACAATTAGTGTTTATGTTAACGCTAATACACTTATATTAATCAATATTCCAGTATGAAACTTAAGAAAATCCAAATATGAACAGTAGTAATTGGTGAAAGGTTGGAAGCTGAATAGGCAATCAAAACCAACTTTTGAATTAAGACTCTATAAAGTAAAAATGTTTTGTATATGATGTAAATTGTATAAAATGTATTTTTTATATGATTTTTCAAAGTATTCGAAAATCAATCTCTATATCATAGTAACTGATCAATTAATATGCCAGCTTGTAATGTTTAATCTATACTTGACACAAGTACAAATTAAAAGTTAATAAAAGTAATAAAAACTTTATATTAATTTTATATAAGGGATATAGGTGTAGTCTAAAAGTTTAAACAAATCCAGAAAAATAAAATTCAAAGATATTGAATGTCTTCTGAGATGGAATCGACAAAACGGGCTATTATATAAACAGAGGATTTGACTGATAAACTTTCAGAACATTTTACAACTGTTATCTAAATTCTAGGAAAGAAGTAATCTAACCTAAGAAATGTTGGCGGTTGGCTCCCCTTATTGATACAGTAAACCAGAGAGCCCTGCACATATTATTTCTCTTTCCATAACAAAATGCTTTAATATACTCATGCACAAATGAACTAATCACACTAGGACAGATTTCATAATACAAAGACGAAATATGGACTATTTCTGGAAGTTTCATAAAACAACTGTAATAAGCTGAAAAATATTTTTAATTTTTGGTAAAAAGCAAGGAAACAATTTATCCACAGTATAATTATTAAAAAAAATTAATGAAGTACTTGCTGAGATTCCAGCAACTTCTTCACTAACAACTGGAACATCAACTTTCTTCTGCTTTTGATGTTTTCCTCCCCTTTTTCGCTTTTTATGACCCATTTTTAATGGAAAGATGGTTAATTACACCCCCTTGTTATCTTTCTTTCATTGGAGACAATTTTTTTCAGGTCATTATAATGATTTGGGAACCCCACCAAAACAATTTAACCCATTTTATCCATTTTATTATTTAGAATAAAATTTCCATATTAAATCACATGGCTTTTTAATCTCTAAAGTAGCACATATGTTCTCTATTATATACTTAAATTTGACAAAAATAAAATTTAGGTCTTTATCTTCATGAAAATGCTAAATTAGAAAAAAAATTAGCGGGTACTTTAAGGGATTATAAAACAGAAAATTTATTATTTTGTTTAATTTATTTTTTCATTATTGCTTCAACTCACGTTAAAAGTTCATCAGTAGAAGTTTAGACATGGTAGAAATAGGAGTTGTCGAAGCAATATACATCAAAGTAGGAAATAGATAAATGAAATGTCATTCAATGAAGCAAAACATCATGAAATGTATAAAAAATACATTTCAAAATGTTTTGATATTTATCTGACAAACACTCTGAATTTACAAAAGATGGTTTAAGATTAAAAAAATAAAAATTGTGCAGTTAAACTGTACAAAAATTCATTGAATCAATTAAATATATTAACTAATGTAACGGTTGCTTAGCCTATTTTATCTCTATACTAAATTATGCTAATGGAGATGAGAATACCGAGTTCCTGGTCAAATAAAATTTTCACTTCAACCCAAAGGTTACATTTGCGAAAAAATTAGGAATAACTTAAAATATCTATGCTCATATTCATACAAAACATGGACTTCTTAGTTTAAGGTAAACAAATAAATAAAAATAACAACATTAGTATATAAAATATTTGTGAAAATTTTTAAAAATAGTTGTTAAATGTTAAAAATATTGATGTTTTGAAACATCAATATTAACTTACAGTCAACTTGGATAGAGCATGTTGTTACAGCTTCACCAGCAACATTTCTGGCTTTACACATGTAAGTACCTGAGTCTTCAGCGTATGCATATAAAATGTCTAAGGCGACAAAGCCAAAATCATAAGTTGTTTTGAATCTATGTCCTGTTGGAAAAAAGTAAATAAATATAATTAAACAGACAATAGTTATAACTTAAATATAGAATTTAATTTTATCAAAACTTGCTAACTGATTCTTAATTATCAAAATAAAAAGTAATCGATCATAACGAATAGATATCTAGAAAACTTTAATTTTTTTTTTAATGTAAATTCAATAATCTTCCATGATAATAAAGTAGATATTGAATACAATATGTAAGGTTGGAAAATCTCACCTTGAGGTATTGGTCTTCCATTTCTAAACCATTCAACTTTCATTGTTGCATCATTGACTGGAGTCAGTGTTGCTTCTAAATGAGCCATTCTACCTTCAGGAAGATGTTCGATATTCTTCAGTGGTCTGCCGAACTCGGGCCTTTCATGAATTGTAACTTCTTCATCGGTTGTGCGTTTATAACGCGAGTCATCCTCAAGATACTGAATTCTTTGGAGGGCTTCCTTGTGTTGAGTATCTCTTATAATTGATGCTCTTGCTAAAAATATTACAAAAAATAATTATTCTCTCATGAATTAGTATAATATTCTACTAATAAAAATTTAAACACATTTATAAAATAGTTAATAATGCCAACAATTCTATTTATGTAAAAGAAATGTTAGTTAAATTTAAAAAAAACTCAGGCTGAGGGCTAGACAATATATCAGAACATTTACTTTCATAATTGAAACTTGTAAATAAGAATACAAAGCTGAATACTCACATTGGACATTAAGTTTAACTGAAGACACAGCCTGTCCAAGTTTGTTTGTTGCTCTGCAAGTATACTCTCCTTTATCTTCTTCATAAACAGTAAGTATGTCAAGTGTAGCAAATCCAAAGTCAAAGGCTGTACGGAATCGATGACCTGTGATAAAATTAGATACATTAGGTTTTCATATTGTGTTCTGCATCACATATATACATATATATATGATAATACGTTTAAAACCAATAATAATACTATATAAAAGATTAAATCATCTATTTGTATGGGTTCATCCGAAAACAAATTTATTTTATTTTTTTATTACTATAAAAAAAGCTGAAGCTCACGAAATCCTGATTTAACCATATCTTCTTCTATGAATAAAATCCCCTAAACTTTTGAAAATTAATTTATTTAATAAACAAGTTACTGGGACTCAAAAAGCTAATGGAATGCTGTTCTGAAATACCTCGATTAATAATTAATATTCTTATAAAGATCTAGATTGCTATGCTATGGCGATTTACAATTTAACTCTATCATACCTGTTTGTAATGGTTTTCCATTGTGAAACCATTCTACTTTAAGGTTTGCATCAGGATAAGGTTCAACTCGGCATTCATAATGAGCACTTTGTCCTTCCAAAAGTGAAGTAGGACCATTGAGTTGAACACTAAAACTTGGTTTCTGGGTGACAATGATTTCTTGTTCTTCAGTACGCCTGTATTTAGATGAATCTTCAAGGGCTTGTAGTTTCTGCAAAGCAGCTTCATGCTGACTTTCAGTAAGTAGTGATGCTTTAGCTGATTAAAATATACGATTATCAGATCTTATTATCCATTTGAAAACATATTTTATTGATAATTAATGATGATTTAAACTTACATTGGACAAGAAGTGTAGCTGATGTTACGGCTTGTCCAAGATCATTAACTGCTCTGCAGGTATATGTACCTGAATCTTCTGGATAAACATGTTTCATATTAAGTGCAACATATCCAAAGTCATGCATGGTTGTAATGCGATTAGCTGAAATAGACAATGTTATTAATAAGCAATTATTAATTTAATAATAATATTTTTATGAAAGAATAAATCATAGCCTTTATAGATTTTTGGGAAGCTGAAAACTTACAGGCTTGAATTGGAACGCCATTTCTTAACCACTCAACTTTCAGCCTAGCATCTCCAACTGGAATAAGCCTTGCTTCAAAGTGGGCACTAGCCCCTTCGGCAAGCCTCTGATCACGGCATGGTTGAGTAAACACAGGTGGTTGGCTTGGAGCTTCTTCAGGACCACTTGGGCCATGGTATTCCCTTGTCTCAAACTGATTGAGCCGGCTTAGAGCAGATTCATGTTGTGACTCAAGATATATAGATTTTCGAGCTGAAATTAATCAAAGATTTCTTTTTATAATTTTCTTCTTTCTTGGCTAAAAAAAATTTTTGTTAAAAAAATAATGAAAAAAGAGTATTACATTGGACATTAAGGTTTGATGATGTGACTGCTTCTCCATTGACATTTTTAGCTCTGCAAGTATACGTTCCTGAATCTTCGGGCAAGCAATGAAGAATATCAAGAGCAACAAAACCAAAGTTATTTGTTTCAGTGAATCGTGAACCTTTATCAGAAAAAGAAACAAACAATTATAATAAGAATAAACACTTCCACTTCATTATTTCAACATAAACTTCAAATTTTAAAGATAATAACCTGATTTAACAGGCTGTCCATTGTGGAACCACTCTACTTTCATGGTGTTATCAGAAACTGGAATAAGACGGCATTCAAAGTGTGCTCTCTGGCCTTCCCGAATTTCACACTGTTTGAGTGAAGTCGTGAAGACCGGCGCCTGCCGTGTGGTTTCTTCTATTTCATCCTTTCTCTGGTATTTACTCCTATCTTCAAGATATTGTATCTGTTCCAAACCTGCTTCATTCTGAGTAGTGGTAACTATTTGTGAAGATCCTGAACCAAGACAACAATACTTTTAAATAAGTTCTGCTTTTAAATTTATTAATTGTTAATTAACTTTACTTTTGTAATACTAACTTAGACACTTTAAAGAGCAAGACGTTTCATCAGTTCCTAATAGGTTGGTGGCTCTGCATGTGTAGATACCTGAGTCTTCAGCAATTGTGTCAATGATATCAAGGGCCACATAGCCAAAGTCATGAATAGGACGGAATCTATGTCCTGGAAAAGAGATAATCAAGTAATGATTAAGTTATTCTTGAAATTTTTTTTAGTTAATAAGCATTGCACTAAAAAGTAACTAACCAACAATAATGGGTCTACCATTTTTGAACCATTCAACTTTTAAGTTTGAATCAGTAACAGGTTCTAATTTACATTCAAAGTGAGCATGACCACTTTCTCTCAGACCTTCGATAGATTTAGGCTTTGTGATGAACTTTGGTTTAATTGTAACCATCTCGTCAACAACATCTGCTCTTTTGTAGCGAGAAGAATCTTCCAAATACTGGATTTTCTCTAATCCTCCTGGATGCTGTGATTCCAGCAAAAGATCTTTTTTAGCTGAAAAGAAAAATAATGTTTAGATTGAAATAACTATAAGACAAGTGTTCATTAAAGAATGAGGTTACATCTAGAAATACTTACCAATAACTCTGACTGATGAAGAAGTCACAGCCTCTCCTAAGTGGTTTCTGGCTATGCAAGTATAGACACCTGAATCTTCAGGGTAAACAGATAATAAATCAAGAGCTACATAGTCAAAATCATAGGCTGGTCGGAATCTGGAACAAAAAAATCACAAATCTCTAATGGTTTGTAAAATAAGGATGTGAATAGCAGTTATGAAAATGGTTGTCACCATGTTTTAGCAAATTCAACAATGTTTGGAATAAAATAAAAATGTTTTTAATGACTCAATTTTGAATAGTGGTCATAAAAATAACTTTTGTGAAAAACAGAATACCATTTTTTCCATTTTTAATGACTTCCAAAACTCAATAATAAATAGTGAAAATATATAAGATAAAACTGTTTTTCCTAAAAGTAATTTAATTTATAGCAACAGTTATAATTTCAGTTTTACATTTAACACTAGACAACAGATATTTGTTTTTTAAGCTTATTTAAATAAATTTTATTAAAAAATTCAAATGGTTAATCTAATTTCGTCTGGCCAGTACGATTATTTTATAATTATGAAAGAGGTCAGGATGATATTTTGTACAATGATATAATTTACCTGTGTCCAATACGAACTGGTTTACCATTCACAAGCCAATCTACTCTCATTGTAGAATCTCCAACTGGCTGTAAACGGCATTCAAGATGAACATTTGTTCCTTCAAGTGTTTCTATATTATGTAAAGGACGGGTAAAAACTGGAGGTGCAGCGATTACTGCCTCCTCTCGTTCAACCCTTCTGCCACGAGATTCAAGAAGTTCAATCTGTTCTAGTGATGATTCATTCTGAGTTTCAGTTAAAATATCAGATCGACTCATAACCTGGGGGAACAAATATAACATGGTAATACTTAAAACATTGACATTGATTTAAGAATGAACCATAAGAATTGTGATAATATAAATTTTTACTGTGAATACTAACTCGAACACAAGCAGAAGTATGAGCAGAACCAAGATGATTAGTAGCTCTGACAGTGTATTCTCCAGAATCAAGAGAAGTTACATGAATAATATCCAATGCAACATAACCGAAATCATAATAGGTACGGAATCGTGAACCTGGAATTGAAAGAATTAAAATCATTAATATTTAACGATAAACGATTTTTATCATTTTAAAATTTTGAGAAATAATCAAGAATTGGACCAATCAGGAAGATCACGAAATGAAATATTTTAAATCTTAGGTACATACAACTTATAATGAAAAAATTAAGGAATTAAAACAGAAATACATTAAAATTACTTCAGAATATCTGTACTAATGCAAAGAAAAAGACATAAGTAATAAGTAAGTAAAGGATAATCCTAACCTAAAATACATGAAAGTTATAATATATGAATCATAAAAAAATAAAGTTGAAACAATATACAATAAATTTGAAAATATTGGAACTTACCAACAGTTATGGGTTTTCCATTAAGAAACCATTCTACTCTCATGGTTGGATCTCCCATTGGTTCAAGTCTACATTCTAAATGTACATTTTTTCCTTCAGAAATTGGTGCAATATCTGAAAGAGGTTGAACAAAAATAGGTCGTGATTTTGAAATCTCTTCAATATTGTACTGGGGTTCAATATGGGTTCTGTCCTCCATATGTTTTGTCTTATCATAAGCACCGTGATGCATACTTCTAGTGTCGATCCCAGAACGGGCTGAAATGAGATTAAAAATTATTAAAATGAAAGGATAACTGCTGCTGAATTTAAGTAAAAATTTATTTTAAATAAGCAAAGTACTGAGAAACGTTTTGATATATAAAATATACTCACAGATTTATATTTTAATACAAGCTCTTATAATCAAATAATGGGGTACTTACTTTCTACTTGCATGGTAGCTGATAGCTGAGCTTCTCCTAATGCATTTCTAGCAACAACTGTGTATGTGCCAGCATCTTCAGCCCTTACACTCATGATGTCTAGGGCTACATAACCAAAATCATGGTAAGTTTGAATCCTATTAGCAGTTTGGAGCATTTTTCCATTAAAATACCATTCAACCTAAAACATCAATTTAAAAATCTCTTTAGAATTTGTGAAATATGAAAAATACTTAGAAGAATCAAAGAGAATGTTAGAATTACCCTCATTGTAGTATCAGAAAGTGGTTCTACTCTTGCTTCAAAATGGGCACGTTGGCCTTCGACAATTTTGTTTGTACCCTTCAATGGACCCAAAAACCTGGGTTTCTGTGTAACAGTGACTTCCTCTTGTTTACTTTTCATGTATCGGCTATTTCAATTGAGAACAATATATAATATTTATTTTTTAAACTATTAAAGACCAAACATAAAATGCAACTATTATACCTTGAATCTTCTAGATGTTGTATTTTCTGAAGACTTGAAGCATGCTGGCTATCAAAAATGACAGAATCCTGTTTGGATATTACATTTAGAATAGCTGATGTTGTTGCTTCTCCTAGCATATTATAAGCACGGCATGTATACTTTCCAGCATCATGCGTAGCAACGGATTTAATTGTAAGAGCAACATATCCAAAATTGAAGAATGTTGTTATGCGAGAACCTGATGAACAAATAAAAATAAATAATAACATAAAAACCTCTAGATATTTAATTTAATTTTTTTTATTGACAAACAAGACCATTATTTAAAAAATAATCATAAGATTAATGAAGAAACCTTATAACATGACTTACTTGCTTCAACTGGTCTTCCATCTTTCATCCATTCAACCCTAAGAGTAGAATCACCAACAGGTTCAAGCCTAGCTTCAAAGTGAGCAAAACCTCCTTCTCTAACACCTTGGTCTTTGATTGGACTCTGGAAAACTGGTGGTTGGGTACTCTCAGGAGGTTCTGGTTGAGTTCGATGTGATGAACTGAGGTAGCCTTCAAGGGCTTCAACAGACTCAATATATCGTTGTTGTTCAGGAATGCCAAGTTCACTTGTTACACTGCTTCTTGCTATAAATTATGAATAGACTCAATACAACCAGATTATTGACATTACCATTCATTATTATTATAAAATATAATTTAATTCAATTAATTCAAAATCTTAACATAGTCTTAAAATTTTCATTCCCACACAAAAATTTGTATGAATATTGAACTCATAATCCATTAAGATTCTGTCAAAATTAATAGATAATACTACTGGGAGTTGCCCTAATTTAACCACATTAATCATAAAGAATTATGAAAAAAAAAATTAATATTACATTAAGATAAGTTGTATTAGCAGAAGTCTTCTTGCTCCTAACTTGATGTTACAATGAAATAGGCAGATGTGTTACTTAAAATACAGGAATTGAGAATATAAATGGAATAAAATGAAATTGGGGATTGCAAATGTAAGCACATCTTTCTGAAATTGAGATATCCGTTGGTCCAATATCATTATACATTAGAAGGAACTAACTACAGCATATTAAAAAAAAAACGTAATGATCAGCTAATCTGAAAAATTTTCTATAAGCTAAATAACTGATTATTGTAATCTATCCGACCATGGCCAAGGAGGGAATAAAAATTAAATATAAAATAATACAGAAGAATTAAATTTAATATAATTTAATTTTACTGCACTATTTTGTTTTATTTTGACTGCTTCCTAAAACTATTTTATTTTATATTTTTTATAAACATTTTTAATAACATTCAGATTACAGAAGGCCTTATTAATGATGAAATATTTCCATAACAAAAAAGGCACTTTCAAGCAAATTCTTTTCACAATGAGAATAATGAAAGCAAAATGAGTTAAAGATTAATGAATACTTAATTAAAAACAATCCTTTAATAAAAGTAAGTTCCTTACCTATAACAATGAGTGTAGATTGTGATACTGCCTCTCCCCACCTGTTGACAGCTCGTACAGTGTAGATACCAGAGTCTTCAGATCGGAGATGAAGAATATTAAGAGATACGTATCCAAAATTGCAAATGGTAGTTATTCTTGAACTTGCAGTGATTGGTTTTCCATCTTTAAACCAATCTACTCTCATTGTTGGGTCTGAAACTGGAGTTATTTGACCCTCAAAGTGGGCATTGCGTCCTTCTTGAGTCTGCCCTATATCACGCAGTGGCCTAATGAATACCGGCCTAGCTGATGTTGTTTCTTCAACTGATTCTGATCTTTGATACTTAGAATAATCTTCAAGTTGCCGAATGTATTCGAGGCTCTCAGGATATTGTGATTTAGCTTCTATGCTAGCGCGGCCTGAAAGAAAAGGAAATAGCTTTAACACGCATGCTAGGTTCTAAACTTAATCATATTCAATGATTTAATGTACATATTCATCCGAATCTATGAGTTTGATAATTTTCATTTATCTTACATTAGTTGAGTTAAAGAACCACCAATAATGGTATATTAATAGATATTGCTAACTACAGTGAATTCATGGTTTTTTTAGAAAATATCAAATATTAGCACACATAATTAGTTGTTTTGTTCAATTTTTTAAGGTCATTATTACTGGTTTGTAATGATTTTTTTTTTAATTGTAAGTTATACATACTTGTAATAGTAACTTTAGAAGTTGACTGAACATGACCAGTACTTGACTGAACAACACAAGTATATTCTCCAGCATCTTCAGGTACAACACTAAGAAGATCTAAAGCAATAAATCCAAATCTAAAGGTTGTAGTAAGTCGTGAACCTGAAAATATAAAATTAAAATTTAATACTTTATGTCTATACATAGCTTACATCAATACATAATTTCAACAAATTCGATCATGCACAATATTTCTCAATATCATCGCAATATTACAAAATTCAAGCATATTTATAAAATAATAAATGAACCATATTTAAAAAAAAATGTTTTGAAAAGCATTACATAGCTAATTAAATAAATGTTTAATCATGACTGATGGTAAATTACATACTTGCAGGTAGAGGTCTCCCATTGTGATACCAATCGACATTCATCGTTGGGTCTCCTACAGGCTCTACTCTTGCTTCTAAGTGGATCCTACTACCCTCTACTTGAGTGGCATCGGTTAATGGGATTATGAACTGGGGAGGTGGATAACGCCTCTCTTCCTCATGGCGTGGTGCCTTAGGGGCAGCACGTTCAACATGGCGCAGATAGATGATCTCAGGTTCTGGGGCAGGTCTGTAAACACATATTTAGTTAGACATAACGAACTAGTTTTGATAAATTTACATTTAAAGTATATTACAGATATAGCTAATGATTATCTACTAATTTATTTTATCAATGACCCAATCACATTGTTATTTTTAATTGAGGTTATAAAATTAATAGAAATTAAGAAAAAAATTCAAAACTACTGCTCAAACCTAACTACTAATAACCATATATTTTTTTAATTCAATAATTTATTCCTTGACAGCATCCATCGATAAATAGTTTCCATATTTTAATTCAACAGTATCAAATTATTAGCTTAGAATTTTCATACTTAATGTTAGAATTACAACACATCAATTAAGAAGAGAAGGATAAATTGAATTGACATAGAGCAAGAAAATATTGAATCAAAATAATTATTTATTTCTTGAACAGAAGCATTGCTGATAAACAAAATTAAGTAAAAAATATTTAATAAAAAAGATTTTTGCAGTGTTTTAATTTTAAAACTTACTCAGGTTGGATAACTGTTGTTGGAGTGGGAAGGTGGAGCCTTGATGGCTGACTGGTATCTTGCTTGATGATCTTTTGAACATGGACTCGAGCTCTTGTTGCTGTCGATCCAGCCATGTTTTGAGCAGTGCACTGATACCAACCTGCATCTGTTGTCTTAGCGTCGATTACTTCTAGAGAACTGCTACCACCGTCGATGGTGATTCTCAAACCAGCACCACTCTGCACTGGCACCCCATCCTATTTGAGATAGTAAATATATAAAATGTATGATCTCTACATCATTAATGAATTTTACTAGCAAATTATCCTACTATGCATAAATAATTATTTTATTTATACAAAATACAGGAATATATAGCTCTATACATCTTTAAAACTAATCTCTTATAACATAACTAAGATGAACAAAAACTTATAAAACATTAAAAGAAGAAGATAATATTGTTTGGGCAGCTTTTGATATGAAATGTGAATTTTTTTTAAAGTCTTAATTTATCTTAAGGATTATCAATAGTAAGCAAATAACTCACAAACTTCATTAGTAATTTGCATTTTACATTTTCATTTTGTATCTTACAGACATTTTACTTTCTGTTATACTTTTTCACTGAAATCATTGACAATATCTTATCTATTAAGTATTTCTAATTCATTATCTTCATTCAAAATTCATTACTTCTAGATATAATTCATTACCAGCCATCATTATAATTATATTTTATTTGAGAGTCTTAGCATGGCCAAGGAGAGGTATGTCACCGATCACAGTTAAACCACAACCCGATATATGTTTATAATAGTTGTATATAAATGCTACATTAAAAAAATTAAATAAATAAAAAAGAGGGCTTTAAACCTGAATTTAATTCCTAAGAGTAGTATTTGTTATTTTTAATTTAACGTTTAAGAATATTATTTTATGGCTTTGTACTTTGTGGAGTATTTTTGATTAACCTTAGAAATAAATAGACAAAACTGTTTTGGAGAACTGATAACCAAGCCTTTAGAAAACAAATGCAACAATCAGGATAAATAATAACAATTTATTGCTAATTTTAATTACCTTCTGCCAAGATATATTTGGAATTGGTGTGCCAACTGCTCTAGCTGTTAACATGAAGGAGTCTCCTTCTTTGATTGAAATTCCTGAAAATCTTTGAACAAATTGAGGAGCTACTACAAGTTCCTTCTCTATCACGTTTAACTTGCACTGAAATAAATTAAAAAAATTATTTGAATTTCTATTAATTTTAAATATCAATAATATCAAAAAATCAATACAATCCGATATTGTAGAGAAGTAATTTTCTAAAGTGAACAGATGGATTCATCTTACCTCAAACGATGATTCTCCAGCCTTATTTTTTGCAATGCATGTCACTGTTCCAGAGTCTAATCTTGATATATTTGTAATCATGAGTGCATGGTTGCCTGATTCATTAACTAATATCTTGTGAGTAGCATCATCAGTAACTTGTCTTCCATTGATATACCATGTCACTTCAGGATATGGTCGCCCAGTGACACGACAATCAAATCTTGTCATTTTTCCCTCAGTAACGTCTCTATCGGCACATGCCCTTACAAAATTTGGGGCAATCATTTTTCCTTCGACGGTTTCCTCAGTCTTTGATATCTCTCTGAAAATAAAAAATACAGATAAATAAAAATTAAACAACTTAAATGATAATACAGCCACATCAATAATTCATTTATAAAACAAGGATTAAATATTTTTGGAGCAATAGTAAATCTTTAAAAAAAGTAAAATTGTTAATTAACAGATTTAATTTTATTTACCTTTCATAAAACTGCTCTTGTGTTCTGGATGGCTCTACAGCTAAATATGCTGAAGTCACCACACATCCTAAATATTCATTTTGGTTAGGTTAACTTTTATTATATATATATCAAGTTTACAGAAATATACTAAATTTAATCTATCCTTTTAAATATTAATATATACTATGCATTTGTAATTTAATTTATATGTATATAAAAAGAAGGAGTGAAAAAACAAGAAAACTTATTACCTTGAGGATTTTCTGCAAGAAGAGTGTAATGTCCACTATCTTGAGCAGAAACTTGATTTACCTTTAAAGATGCTTGTTGATTCGTGTAGCTCGTTTGATGTTTCTGCGATGAAACAACTCTCTTTCCATTCTTGAACCATGTCAACTATAAAACAACAAAAAACAAAGACAAATTAATAATGTAAAGTGATCTAGCAGAAAAGAATTTCATAAAAGATAAATATTAGCAAAAGTAAACACAGTATACAGAATGGAATTCATGATTCAGATAAGAGAAAATAAAGAAATACATGCAACAGTTTAAGTTACTTAGTTTAAATAAACAAAATTCACAAAACGAGAATGTTTCTGATTTACCTAATTAATTTATTTATTCATTCATATATTACTTTTTAATTTAATTTTCAGGATTAACTGCTTTTAAATTTTATAGGTTTGAAAAATGAAATCAAAATCAGATATTCTTCATTATAATATTAAAATTTAAGATTTAACTTTGACTCTTAAATTTTTTCTCAAGATAAGTTTACATCTAAAATAATCTTCACAAGAAAGTTTGAGACATTCCTTTTTTCTCATTAAATCTACAGTCATAAAGAATGTTTATTTATGCTCTTCAAATAGTTGTTGATTATTAATCATTTTTAGTCTATTTATTAATATCCTTAAGACATACTCTGGGTCTCGGATTCGCTGGAACCTTTGCAGTAAACACTACATCAGCGCCTTCAGTCTGTTTTGAATTTCTCGGTTTGGTCTGGACCTGGGGAGGAGCCGGGGGCCCGAGCATAGGGTCTATTCTTGTTTCGAGGATAGCATCACTTTCTCCAACAAATCGTCTGGTCAGTGATTCTCGGAATGATACTTCACGTAATATCCTATATTCGAATGTGTCTACTTTAAAGTCCTGTAATGAAAAAAAAAAAAAAAAATGTTTTGAACACCAATAATGGTTACTTTTAGAAAATTTATTGAACACAATTAAAAATTCAAGCACTAAGAATAGCATAATCAATGTACTATTTAGAAATATTAGAATAAGAAAATCAAATAATTACTGAGAAAAATTACATTATTTAATACAAAATTGATAATGTAAGTAAAGCTTACTTCTTCAATGGTTGTAAATCCATTTGAGTACTGCATTGTCTGTTGAACTTGTTGAGTTCGTTGTGTAGTTTGCGTTTGCTGATAACCCCCTTGCAAGGTTTGTTGTGTTTGTTTAATTTGTGTCATTTCTTGTCGTATTCCTTGTTGGTGGGCTGGTACAGCAAAACCTAAAATACAAACGAACAACTGTTAACAAAAATATTTAAACAATTAATCTAGATAATCATTCTGGGACCTCATTGTGACCGGATTTAATAGAAAATCAAATGAAATGCTACTTAATGAAGGCTTTATAAGATAACGTTGATTAACAAACGTTTTTAATTTGGTGAATCGAATTTCAGTTGATTTTTATAATCATAAATAAAAATAAAACGTTAAACGCTATAAGTACATTCTAAGGAGAATTAAATTAATACAAATCTAAAATCCAGATATAAGAACCAGATAACCATAGTGAATATTGCTTACTTATTACTTATACTTATTAAATATTAATTCATAAAGTATTAGTCTTATTAAGTAAAAAAACCATTAAGGAACAATTAGAAAGAAGAAATATCTATACCTTCGGGCTGTATGTATACAGAGCAAATTGCTTCGCCAAGTTGGTTCCTTGCTGTACAAGTATATTCACCCTCGTCACCTGGGCCAATATTGTTGATTTGTAGAGAAACATTCCCTGTTTGTTCCTCATACTTCAACTTATATTTGGCAGATTCTGTAACAAGAAAAATTAAAATTTATTATATTAAATGGTGCAATAAAACAAAACATGAATGAATAAAACATTACATATTCTATTTTTAGTAGAAAATAAATCGGACTAATTATAATTTAAACTCAAAAACTAATTTCAAAACAATCTTAAATATTTTGTTATAACTGCGAAAATTAAAGAAAATTTTGTGACCAAATATTAAGATATATTAATAAATTTAATTTATCAATATATCCTGATTATGAAAATAAATCACCTTCTGTGTGTACAAACATAGAACATCCTTATTTAATACATAAGTATTTTATATAAACCTGAATATACTCATATAATTATAGTTATTCTGTAATTCAATCTCACCTAATAAGGGAGCACCTTTTCTAGTCCATGATACCACAGGTTTGGGCTGTCCTACAACTCGCCCTTCAAATAACGCATTACCTCCTTGAGCAAATCTTGCATTAGAAAAAACTCTTTCGAAAACGGGTGGAGTTCCATCTCTGTAAGCAACAAGATAAGTTTTGTTTAATAACGAATAGTTTATGGAGACTAAATATGCAATAATATATTACGTATATAAATTAAAGTTTCCAACCTTAAGTGTTCTGACAAAAAAATTAATAAGTTTTAAAAGTAATTTTCTTAGCACTTTGTTGATTTCTAAAATTTTGTAACAAAATAAAAATAAATTATAAACTTCAAAATAAAATATTAGAAACGTTGTTAACTAACTACATAACAGTTCATTATCTAAGTGACTCTTTAGTAAAATAAATTAGGAGAGTGATATCTATTTTATAATTTCTTGAAAATAAATATCTGACCATCCTTAATCTGTATCAATAAGTTTTTAAGCGCACACTTATTTTTAAACACCATTTTTGTAAAATGAAACGGAAATAAAAGACTAACAAAAACATCAATAGCTTAGATAAAACAACATAAAAATCTTTTAAAAGAAATACTAGGTCCATAGTTTGTTGAAAATATTCTAAATGGAGGTTTTTTAACGGTTTCAGGACAAAAAAAAATCCATCATTAATTTTAATAGTTACAATACTTCTTTAATAATGGTTTCATTTTTATTACATTAGCGTGCCTACCTCAAAAACTGATTAATACTTAATATACTAAATTTGGCATAGAATAATACATTAAATGGATGTTGATACGATTTTGTTTAGGTAGTCTATATGAAGACGGGACCCGCAAAACAAAACTCTCGGTATAGTTTACAACTTTCGAAATCAAGTTGTAAACTATAACTTCTCATCACAGGCGGATCTAAGGGGGGGGAGGGGCTTTCGGGCTGAAGCAAGAATATACATCAACGGGAGAGCCCCAGAAAGGGGGCGGAAGGCGCGATGAATTATTTCTTTCATATAATAATTCCTTATATGAGTTCTTCATTTAAAGAATTTTATGCATTATTAAATTATTATAATATAAATGTATATATTATATTAAAGAAAACACAAAATATTGTTTCAAGTAATTTAGCAGCTAACTATATTCTGTCTGCTGTGTGCCAAGCGATCATTTGATACGGAAAAAATAATAGTGATTATTTTTTATGTTAAAAGATTAACTTGGATTCCATGCAAATACTTAAGGATTCAGGAGTGTCCATAAGGGGGTTTCGTGGTTTTCAATGGGGCCATCAAAATTTCTGAGGAGGGCACATTTTGACTGGAATTTGAATTTTTGAGGGGGGGGAGCACATTTGGACGGGGATTTGAATTTTTGAGGGGGCACATTTCGAAGGAGTTATGAATTTTCGGATTGAAAAATTTCAAACCAGGGGAAAACAGAAAAGCGTGGTACAGACCACTGAAAGTGTAATTGTATATGACTTATGGTTTTTAAAATTTTACTTTAGCTTGCACAGTTATTAAGATGAAAATAGAAATAAAAACTTCCTAGGAGGAAGGGGAGAGGAGTGCCCCATCGACCTTAGAGGGGGGGAATGGGTATACCCGCTTATTCAAGTTGACAGGCAAACATGATAGAACCTGACCAAAAAGTAAGGTAAAAAGATATTTATAATATTATCACAAAAAAGTTACAAGGTGGAGAATAATAGATAACAGTTCGCATAAAATATTAACGACTGCTACAAACTACTGACTTTAACTATAATGAGAAAGACAAATCTTCAAAAAATAAAAATAGATAACTTGATCAGAAGCTATTTATACTATATGTTATAGGTGCCCAGGACGATGTTGGAACGAATTCGACCCCCTTAAACAAAAACAAAAAAAAAACGATAACTTAGAAGCTTATAAATATTAAATTAGATTAATTTACTTACATGCTTTGGGTGAGGATGCCTTCTTGTACAAGCATTCCCTGCACTGTAACAAAAAACAAATCTAATGTTAGGAACCATGATACAGGCGAAAGATATCAGTACCTAGTATAAATTCATCGAGTAGGGTTTGCACTGATAATAAACATGCATTGTGTTGAGCCTTTGTTTTGGTGCCCACAGAATATATCAGTGTTACAAACAACTTTAATATTTTGCAACAATGTGACAGAAGATAAGATAAATCAGCCTTATCACCATAACTAGGTAACTACTTTTTTTTCGTAGCTACCTAGTTATGGTGACAGGGCTTAGATTTTAAAATTTAGTATTCATTTTTATTTTTGTGATACCTAACATTAATCTGTATAAGAGTATAATTGATATAACGCAAGATAAATGTTACACAAAACGATGCCGACAATCAACAAAACTAGAAGTGACTATCCATTATAAATCATGCAGTAAGTTCCGCCGAAACTTGTCCAAGTTGCATATTGTATCACTAGCCACAGGCGGATCTACGGGTTGGCTTTTGGGCTGAAGCATCCCTCCTCCTCCCCCCCAAAATGGTAAAATATAACCATGTTTTACAGAAAAAAAAATTAAAAACTATCTCTTAAAGTATTCTTGTTCATTTAATTACATTTAATAGGACTTCAGGAACCACTTAAACACCATTTCATACAGATAGTTAATTTCTTTCTTTTTTTTCAAATTATTTTTATGAAAAAAAAATCTTCCGGGCTGAAGCCCCCCTAAAAATTAAATCCTGGATCCGCTAGTCCGCCACTAGCGGATCCAGGATTTAATTTTCATCCTCTCATCCTCCTTCCCTTAGATCCGCCTGTGTATTGTTCTTATCCCTTTCTTATATAAAATAAATAAGTAGGATTTGTTGAAGTAAAACATATTTTTTATTTTCTTTTGTTCTGAACAGAAACAAAATATTTCAAATCAATTGTAGAAAACAATGTCTGTTTTCGCTTTATTAGAATAATACTCACACAATTATCCAAGAATAAGATGACGTTGTTTTTTAATCGTTTGATTCAATCATCGATTACCAACTTTTTGCCTTTTTTGTTACAGTTCACTTCTAATTCTTCAGTAATACGTTTATAATCTTAATTATATTTTCGGTCGTAAAAATATTTAGTTGTTTAAAAAATCTCACTACAAATAATTAACTGCACGGACTAAGTCATGAAAAGGTAGCACGCAATAATAAAGCAGAAAATAATACTAAACAAAACTTGACCAAACATGGACTAAGTTCCCACCCACTTAACATACAATGTATCATAATCAAGGCCAAAAAAACAATTAGCATATTCAAAAACGTAATATATAATAAAGTAAAACATTTAAAGTGTGTAGATTCGTAATGGTCAGGGGTGACGTAATATCATTATCAAGCAAAAAGGTTTTCCCAAAAATATTTATTCATTATCAGAACTTAATCCAGTCAACGAATGTTATAGGAGGAAATGTCGAGGAATTTTTGACTTTGGGACATTGTTTGGACTAGCAAAAAGGTAAACATACTAAAAGTCCCCACTCCTAGGTGGTGTGCCAGACTTCGGAGGGGGAGCGCCTAGGTCACTTTTTTCGGGTTTTCGATTATATAATCGAAAATATCTGTCGCATCGACAAAGACGTTCTATACAAAATTAAGGCTGATAAAATTTGCAATATTATTGATTATATACTTGGTTTCGCTATCTCGCTTACTTTCCGAGATATTCGTCCTCAACTATGGATAATTTTGAAAAACAAATCCTTGCATCATGTTTATTGCTGTTTTTCGGGTTTTCACTTATATCAGGAAAACTATCTATCGCATCGATAAAGACGTTCTGTACAACATTAAAGCTGAAAAAATTTACCTTCGTCGCTATCACGCTTAGTTTCTGAGATATCCATCCTCAACTATCGCTAATGTGGAAAACAAATTTTTACTTCACGTTTTTTACTGTATATGACTCGCTAACTCTTGATTGCTTCGTTCTACGATTAAGTCATGCGGAAGAAGGCTTTTAATAATTAAATTTTTATCAGGAATATTTATTATTTTACTAGTTTATCTCCAACGGTTCAAAAGTTAGATCAATTATAACTTTATTTGTCAATTTTTAAAATTTGCAGAAAAAATTTATTTTTATAATATTTGTTAATATGTTGCTCTAACTCTCTATACGTCTAAATCTCTCTCTCTCTCTCTTTCCAATTTCGTAATTTGTAAAAACATATTTACGACTAAAATAGTTTCTACTACACTTTATCTTTTTTTAGACCTGATGAAGACCTACAATGTGAGTCGAAACGTCGTTATTTAATAAATAATTAACAATTATTTGATGTATTTTCCTGACTAACTCATGGGCCATCTTCTTGACACCGAATGGTCAACGGTCTACATATACAATAATATATCCTTTCAAAAGCACAAAAAAGATTTGTTTAGTATTCATTAAATTACAGCAGGATCATTAACAATTTTAAGCTTCATTTGAACATTTCAAAAACTATGGTAAACACAATTATTTAACTTAACTAACTACTAATTTTATTTCTCTTGATACCGATAGCAGATGGAAAATATCAAAAACAAGTGAAATAATTATTTATATATTTGTTTGTCCCATAGTTTGTGAAATGTCTAAACCCTACCTTTAAATGTTTAGCACGAACAATGGGCAATGAGTCGAATTGAATTCGGATCCTTAACGAAGGATGCAGATTGGCAATAGAAACTGATGACTATTAATACAAACCTTGGCTGCACAGCCACAGGTCTGCCAATTCTTCAAGTTCAACGTTCTTAACTTAACGTTTTTGGTTGTAGATTTATCAAAGTTCTAGACTATTGGTTTTAGAAATGTCAACCTAATAAGAATAGGCAATATTATAATATATATATATATATATATATATATATATATATATATATATATATATATATATATATATATATATATATATATATATACATATATATATATATATATATAATATATATATGTGCCCAGACGTGAATATTATGGTGCAAGTACTGTAAGAGATTTAGGACAGTGAATTTTTGAGTGAGACACATTTGAATTGGATTTACGAATTTTGGAGGTAACCATAGTGTGTTGGGGTTTCGATTTGGAGGAATTTTTCAAAGCAGAGATAAGAGTAAAAACTATTGGAAAAGTCACAGCAAGTGTAATTATATGAAATATAACTTTTCTAATTATGTTTTCGTTTACATTATAGTTCTATTTTTAATAAGAGGAGAGAAATAAAACTCTTGGGAGAAAGGCATGCGCGTCAATAATAATACGCTACCCTTGTTTGGAGGTAGAAAGGATGTCAAGTCCACAGGCATATCGTCTCTGAGATTTAGAGACACGGGCGGATCTACGGGGGGGGAGGGGGCTTTCGGGCTGAAGCCTAGAAATAATTGAATGGGAAGACCGAAACAGTTTATGATTGAAAACTGTTCAGGAACGATTTTATTTCTTTGCTTTTTTTTAATATGTTATTTTGTTTTTATTCATTATATTTCAGAATCCATTTACAAGATATGCCAAGCTTGGTATGAATCTTAAATCTTGAACCATAGTAACGCATTGCTACTAAGATTCATATCTATTTCAGGAGATTAAACATGTCTAACTTGAAGTGTATGACGTAAGAGTGGTGCCCAGCCTTCACCGTCAATAACATCATCCAATAGCCATAAGAGTGTACTGCATAGTTTAGTTTATTAGCTCATTTGATAATTAGTGCGGTTAAATTAATTAATGGCAAGTTTTATTATTTTTTTTTTCATTTTTTATTTTCTCCTTATGTGGTTACAAGGTTTAATACATAAATACACTTTTGTAGTGAACAATTTGAAGCAGTAATTAAAATAGTCAGAATGCCATTTTGTAGAGTGCCTTTCATTAACACCCATTCATAATTTAAATAGGCTTTTTGCTTGAGGAACTATGTATTAAATGTATTTATAATTACGTTTTACAAACTTCATTCTGCTAAAACCTCGCTCATTATTAGCTATACGGATACATTTGGAAACATATACAGATCTACGGGGGAGAGGGGAAGCTTTCGGGCTGAATGTCCCTCCCAAAATGGTAAAATAGAACAATATTTTGTGAAAAAAAATTATCTCTAAAAGTATTATTGTTGGTCTAATTACATTTAATACATTAAATGTAGGACTTAAAGAATCACTCAAACGCCATATCATATAGGTACTTAGTTTCTTTCTTTCTTCCAAAATAATTACCCTAACATATACATATTATTTTATTTACTGTACATAGAGTGTGAATATGATCTGTGAACACTATTATAAATGTCCTTAAGACAGATTGTAATATTTTTCAATGAATAAGATTAGAAATTTCCTTCAATAATATATACATACAAAAATAATTCTTTAGGGCTGAAGCCCTCCCCCCTAAAAAAAATTAAATCCTGGATCCGTTAGTGTTTGGAAGGATGCTTTTCCTGCATTAGGCTTATTTTTTAAAAATAAATATTGTATATTCGATCAAAAGAAGTTGGTTGGGGTTCGCGGTAAAATGTATCAAAAGAACGAAGAATAAGAATATTTTTTAAATGTTTATATGAGTAAACTCTTTTAATACCGTATACGATTGTTCAAAACAACTTATTGGATTTTAAAAGATAATTTAAAAACTCCAAAAAGGCAACAATTTATTAATGCAAAATTTTTAAACATTATTAATCCATAAAAATTACTATATTTTCTCGGTTTGCATATGGTACAACTAATAATAATCAATCAGCTTCAAACGACATTGGAGATTAAACAATCTCAACAGATTCAGAAGCTACAGAAAAAAAAAACCTCATTCATTATATATAATATATTATAGGCCAATAATTATTATGGCTTTCCGTCCGGGTCATATCTTATCTACACTAAGTAAGCATAAAAAAGAACAAACGAAGTTTTTATCAAAAGCAAACAAGCTATGCACTTCCCATTCCGTTATATAATCTTTATGCTTGCGGTGAAGCCAGAATAGGTAATTTTTAAAATTGATAAATTCGTTAGT